TCTAGTGCTTCCATGAACAGAGCCTTTATATTTTTTGTATAGCTTCTATAACGAACTAAATGAAATATACCACAGCCTATGTGAATACTTTAGTAATATATTTTGTACAAACATTTTAAGTTTAGTTGTCAACATGTGATATAGTTTACAACGATTATGTTAAAAATGCCTATTGTATATACGAGAATATAACAATACATAGTGTTTATAATATACATAACTACATATTATTTTATGTAATAAAAAGAAAAAGCTGTTGAATAAAATAGTTGAAAAATTATTTTGGGATTTTTTATTTTATAACCACTTTTAATATGTATACCTAGGAGTCTATGGTCCCCGAAAGGTGAGTGTTTTTAAGGTCCGAGTGAATAGGTTGCTTATAGGTAGCCGAGCTCCATCGTCAGTAGCATCATCGTTTACCACCTGGCTTGATAGAGGTTCAATCAAAATTATTCTTTCGTAATAGGCAATTACGAAAGAATAATTTAAAATATAAACAATTTTGGTTCTGTTAAACACATCGAGAGTTAGATAGCTTCCTAATTCAAAATAAATTATTTTGATTTTTCTACTTAGGCACCGAATAAAAACTTAATTATTTAAACATAATCATTAACTGATTTTATGATACACTTAATTTTAGATTTTGTTAGCTAATTTTAGGAAAAAATAATGCTTATTTGAGCTATAGACGACAATGACGCGATTTCATACAAAACACTTCATAGAACAATTCACGGCATCACATTATATATTTTATTAGTATTGAAATTGACTAATTAGAAACGACAGTATTGACATTTTATAACTTTATAGGTAACTTTCAATAGTGGAACATTGATTAACGTGGCTATTGTGCTAAGGTGACTTCCACCCAATCCTTCAATCAGCAAATATTTCTTTACTGGGTGTGTCACGTATGACGTTTTTTTTTACCTAGGACTAATAGATTTGGAGATGGAGCCGAGAATCTTAAGTGAACTAGGATAAGGTCCATTATAAGCTTATCAATACTCTTATTTAAGTTCGCCACACATAATGTTTGAGATATTATAAATTCATCATAAACCAAATTCAGCCAATGTCATCTCAATCCTGTTATCTAATCAGGAAATGTCTTTGCTGGGAGTTAAGTAACGGTGACAAGAACTTCGTTAATTCTTGGTAGAACAGATTTAACTTCTATTATAATATTATTTAAAAATAAACTTATTTTACTTTAATCAGCAGTCTGGAGATGTGAAAGCGATGGCGAAGGCGACATTTCTCTATAAAGGTACCAACAGGGAGCAGGGTTGTAAGTATAAAAAAATACAATAGAATATAGCAACTCGTTTATTGAAAAAATCACAACTGATACCACATAGAAAAACTACTCGGCACGGTTTAACTCTTAACTATATATAATATCACATAAACACTTTATAATTTGATAGACTATATACAGAGACATTCATCCGTATTTGGTACACTTTGTGAACATACCAACCACTACGTGATCGCAGCATCAAATAAAAAAACAAAACAAAACAAAAATATTCCTTTAAATTCGAGTTTAAATAAAAAAAATAACAACGAAACAATATACTTACACAATTATTTAAATAAATAAAAATAAAATATGGATCGGATCTTTAATATGCGTAACGTAATAATTAAGATAATGAATATTATTTTACATTTATTTTTTGCATTGGTATCGGTAACCGATTGAAACAAAATTGTAAGATGAATTATGAATTTAACTACAACCCGTTTGCCGTTACTACTGAATACTATTTCCATGTGAATCGAATTGCTAGAGACTTTCTTCTTACAAAACGGAAAGACAGGTACGTAGTTTACAAAATGTCAAATGATATGTATATTACAAATACTTCACAATATAGCTCTATGTACTACATACGTCGGGGAGTTTCTACTTGTGGCACAGTAAACAAAAAACTTACACCAACGTACACTATTTTAAGAAAACATCAATATTTATAACTTTAGAATTTACCCAAATAATCCAAGAGGTAGGCAATAATATTCATCCAAACATTCATAAGGTTTTTATATTTTTTTATGCAAAATAAATGGAAACCAAAGTGGTTATATTACAACGGCTTTTTTGGCATTTCACGTGTATACATTTACAATAATAGTAGCAATACAAAAAAGGATTAATGCTAAGCAGTATTCTATGTTAAGGATCTATATTACAGAGTAAATAAAATAAGATATATTTGAATAGTAATATTGTCATTTACTCTGTAAAAAGATCCGAAGCCCACTCGCTCGTTTTCAAACATTAAATTCGTACAATTTAGCACACATCGCTACTGTCATTCGCCAAGTCAATGAGCAAAGTACGGTCAGCCTTCACAGTTCCATTCCGTTTGTGTTGCACGCCCCTAGATAGTACCTAATCACATTCATATAATTACAATGTTAGATATTTGCCCACCAAAATGCGAAAAGAAAATAAAAATTAATACCTAAAATATTTCAGTTCATTTTATTTTAGAGGGCAGATACCTTCACAGGAACTACAAACTTTCGTGAAAATGCAATACAACAGTTCATATACTAACTGCATAAAGTAAACATTATTCTAGGTGCAAGCCAATTAAAGATTCAATTGTGCGACCAAATATAGAAACGAATGTTGATAGAATGTCACCGAAATGTAGATAACGATTACTTTCCGAGATAAACTTCGATAGAAAAAACATTAGAAAGTCTGTTGACTACTAGAAAAATATTAACGATCTAACATCTAGGTAATTGTATCGCTCAGGTCAATATTTTTCAAAATATTAATTTAATTCTCATAGATTCATTATACAACTCTTTATAATTTGTCATAGTCTTGTCGTTTATAAAAATTTGATATTGCAACTACAAATAACAGGTTAAGACGGAATTATTGTCGAAAATATTTATTTTGTAATGCGAGGAAGCTCGTTCGAGTGGTGGATACATTATGATAAACTCATTACTTCCTCAAAAACAAACAGAGGAAAAATTGCAAAGAACTCGCCTTCAAAGCAGAAAATATCGTGCGAAAATATCTATGGAATATTCATAAAATTAAAATTCTATAACTAGATCTAACTAAGCGTGACATCACAGTTAATGCATAAATAATACAATTAAATACGGAGGCGATGGACACAAACATTAAAATCAACATAATATACATAAATATTCTTATATGTAAAACACAATTCTTGGCATGCGATACTAGAATCACTTAAGGTCGAATATAGCGCCTAGATATATGATTTTTTTAACATAAATTACTTTAATGAATTTGCCAAAAGCCTGGGAAACTAACAAAAAATGCGGAAAAGGGTATGTTGTTAAGAACCAAAATATATTGCGAAACAAGTTAATTCATACAAGTTGTTTAGCACATAAGATGACACCATGTTTAGGCAATGTTTTTTTTTTTATTAACATTTGTAACGTTTTAACGTGTATAAAGTATTGTACAAAGGGATAATTTTATTATTAATTTGTCAACATCTGAAAAGGAAACAGTTTTACAATAGATCTCTGTCTATTTAAATGCTAATCTTAATTTTAGTGTTAATTTTTAAGTCTTAATCTAGACAATCATAGTTTTATTTTATAATAAATCATTTTTTAATTTTTTTATCCTAACCATTGCACGTGTAATTCCTAGTTTTTTTTTAATATTACGTATGTTCCATTTTATTAGATCAAGATTTTGCTATTTTGTCCTTCTACATTACAAAGGTAAATTAATAAATCACGTGAATTCAAATATTAATATTTTGGCTGCGCAACTCATTTTTTTAGGTTTCTGTAGTCAAAGATTAGATACGAGAACTTTAATACTAATATTCCGCTGTCTCCCTGTCAGTCTATCTGTCAAAGTCTGTTTAGCAAATTAGAAATTTGTTCAGTATTTTTTTTCATTGATAGGACATATTTTGTAAGCTAGTCCATTTCAGAAAACTCTTTTCAGACATTATGCCACTTTATATTTTTTGTGAGTAGACGTGATAAACAAGAACATATTATTATAATATTATACCATCTGCTTTTTTTGATAATTTCTTTAAATCCCTAATATCGATACCTTACCGCGATATTTATATTAAAATGTACGAGTGTAGAAGGACAAAATACAATAACTAATATGGATTTTTTACTTCACCGAGTCAAACATTTTTACATACCTCCAGTAAAATTTTACTCACTCATATAAATAAAGGCAAGATATTATTATAACATTTTTATTAGCATGAATATTAAAGAGTAATTTCATTAAATTTGAATTCATGCTTCAATAAAGATTTGTATATTTTTGCAAATTTAAATTTAGTTTATACTACAATATATTATATAGTTATTTTATTCATAACCGCGACTCTTTTAATTTAAATGGATAAAATTATACAGAAAATTATTTAAATTAATAAAATTATTTGTAAAAAAGCTTATAAAGTTAGCGTTTAGTTTAGAATCTAAAAATCGAAAATTATATAAATAAAAAATACTTATTTTTTTTAGAATTGCTAAGAAAACTTTAACTTCCGACTTTGTGTAAATAGACAAATGAATTTTTATTTCAAATTATTGTAAAATCGATGTGTATATATCGCATTTGATGGGTGTAAATAAAAAATTGATCTTCAGTGAACATAATAAATACTCTTTTAGGACCTATTTCATTGAGAAGTAGCATTTGCTTAAATATTAACAAAGTCACACAACATCTGTCTAAGCAAATAATACGCATAAGAATTTAATTTACCTATACCCTGAATGAGACAAATCAGATATATATAGATATTACTTAAAAATATTCAATTTATTTTCAAAATAAACCTCCATTGAATCTGATAGACACACACATTAATAATTCTAATATTTAAATAATTATACTAAACGTAATTTTTAATTACATTCAGCGTACAGACATTGGAATCTCAAGCTACTCTAAACTATCACATAGAATTGGAACTTTATTTTCTATAATCATAAAGTCCAAATTCGCGTGAAAGCTTGATATACCGCCATAAACTACAAGTCTGTGGATTCGCTAATAAAAGTTCAGTTCAAAATTCACCTTTACACATGTAATATAAGACTTATATTTGTACGTACGTAGTTCACTCGAACTGCACGGGTGTGGGTGTCATGATGTCAATGATGATGTCTTCCATATTCGGTAGAACTAGAACTTTCTCGAACTCCTTACTGAGTTTCTGTTCGATCCAGTTTGTGATGTGAGCGAAGCGGAGAGTGCGGGCGCCCACTGCCGGCCGCGCCTTCAGTATTAGTTGCGGGTTTGAGCGGAACCTGAAGGAACATTTTATATCTACCAATTTCATGGAACAGTTTTCGCTTCAGCTTATTTTGTAAACCATTAAGACTTTTTACTGAATTTTCGAAGACCCTTCTTGTTATTCATAGGTTTGGGTTAACTACACTTTAACACAGCGTCATTGTTAATTCCAGAAAAGACTAACTAAACTTTGAAGTCGAATGGCCATATGAGGCTTTGGCCTAATCAATATGTCAAATCATTTTTTTTTTTTTATATAAACGTTGCCTTACCCTATTATTTTCTCTTGTGTCGTGAGTGCGTTTTTAAACAAACAATTGCACAAACACATTACACCCAGACCTGGAACAACGATATGTGGAACACACACAAAGCGTTGTGCCGTGCGGGAATCGTACCCGCGAGATTTACGGGGAAACCAGTTGCCCAGCCATCGCGCCAATTGTGTGTGTTGAATTTTAGTTTCGAGCAAAAAAATTATTATAGCCTTTCTCGATAAATATATAAACAAACACACAAAGAATTGTTCAATTCGAACCAGAGGTTGCGGAGATTGGCGCGTTCAAACAAACAAACTCTACAGCTTTAAAATATTAATAGTAATTATAGCTTTAGCTGTTATTTATTGTACCTAAATGTTTATTATACTGTATGCATACGTTTTTAAATTAAATAAATTACAATTTATCTGTCGTTTAAATTCTATATCAAAAATTGTCAATTCAAATTCTCTCACCCGATCCAAACTCTGTCATGGGGGGGCGGCGGTAAGTTGATGGCGAGTCTCCCCTCCAGCGCGTGTACCTCCAGATGCAACTTGATGTCTGTGTTTGACAACCCTTCCATCGCACGCTTCACGTACTTGTAGTCTGTCACCTATTAAAATAATTATTATAGGTATTAACAGCGACTTGCTTCTGTTACTGTTTCATTTTTTCAACATTTCTTGTATAGGCATTATTATTACAAGAAATTATATTTTTTAGATTTATTTAAGATGTGTTTTGCTGTGTGAGATGGTACCGGTGTCCCAATCTTTCCCCTCCCATTATCCCAAAATCTCCAAATGCATAATCCCCAAAAGGTCGGCAAAGCACTCTAACGCTTCTATTGTTGCGGGTGTCCATGGGCGGCGCTGATTGCTTACCATCAGGTAATCCGTCTGTTCGTTAGCCAACCTATCACGTAAAAAATATTAGCGACCCGCCACGGCATCGCACGGGTGCAATGCTGATGCTAAAGATGTCCAATGTTTAATGGATGTTATCTTCTTATATATAAAAATGGATCGCAAAATGTGTTGGTAAGCGCATAACTCAACAGCGCCTGGACCAATTTTGCAAATTCTTTTTTTGTTGTGTTTGTAATTGTCAGGAGAAAGTTCTTACGAAAGAAAATATTAGAAAAGTAGAGGGGAAAATTGAGGAAAAGGGATCCTTCCGTTGTTAGCGAGATAGTTGGACCCGTGCGAAGCGGGGGTGGGCAGTTATACATATAAATCTTCCTCTATAATAACTTTATCTATTTAAAAAACTGCATAAACAAAACCCATTGCGAAGTTTTACTCTTGTAAAATATATTATGTGCGATATTCTACCACAAGAAATATGATAACATTGTAGAGGTACGGAGTAATGAACTCACCTGTTGGAAGTATTTATTCGTCGCTATCTTGTCGACCATACGCAAGAACTTTTTCTTAGAGGATGTTCCTTCAGTCGTATTACTCATCGAACTGAAATGTACATAATAATATATTATTAAACTTGAGAAAATATAGCCATCGGTACACTGATTGGAAGTATTATTAAATTTGATGAGAAAATATACGAAATAGTAGTAATACATATATGCTACTGACACTTTCATTACGTCATATAAACATTAATTTATTATGTTTAACGAATTACTCGTATAATTGTTCGGTGTATATTATTCTACATTTATTTATACATATTTGTTTTTATTATTTATACACTAGCTAATCTAGCGCGGTTTCACCCGCTGCCGTCATATTATATAGCCCAAAGCCTTCCTCGATAAATAATCTATTATGCAAAAAAGTATTTAATCAATTAATTAATAGTTAAATTTGAACCAGTAGTTCCTGAGATTACCGCGTTTAAACAAACAAAGCTGAAGGCTTTATAATATTAATTATAGTATAGATTTAAACAGCTAGTTACTAGTTACCAATTGCTGCAACTACACTACTTAGGGATTACTAGTCTAGCGGAATGATATGGACTCTATTACGAAGTAATAAGGTGACTCACCCGGACTCTGAACCCGCGAGAGTCTCATTGCTGTCGACGGGCTGCACCGGCGGGCTTTCATCGTCGCTGCTAGACTCCGCCGAGTCTTCCACTTCGGAGTCATATATCGCCGGCTTCATTAACTAGAACAAAAATATACTATGCAAACGTGGACTACATTTTCGTAACTTTCATTCTTTTATATTTTTAACTAATATACGCAACATAAAGTATTTTTTTACTGCAAACGCCCGCCATATTTTAAAAGTGGTCGCGGCGTCGTATTCCGAGCAATGCTGATCATGAGTATGAGCTCTTATTGTGGTTTGAATGTGGTCGAGTTAAGTCGAAAAACAGTATGTCTTAGTCAAAATACGCAATACCGCGGTCCCAGATTAGAGCAGGAGAAGGAACGAGGTGGTTTGTAGTCAGTAAGATTCTAAAACTCCCACTCGTCCACCCAGAGCGGTAGAAATGATAGGAAACACTTCACCTCAAAAAAGCACGTAATCCTGTACAACATTTATAGATAACTGTCTAATTTAATTAATTAAAGAAAAACTAATTTTATACTTAGCATAAAATTAGTCTACTTATGTTATTGTGTAAATAAATCTTACCCGTAAGGCCTGAGACGAGAAGCCGGCCGAATTGGGGGCAGACTGAAGGTCGTTCTCCAAAACAGTGTCGCTAGTCGCCATCAACTGTTCTTCTAGTGTAATATCTAAGGAACATAACTTGAGGTTAGGATAGGAGTAGTTTATGTTTAAGAAAATAGAAATATATACCTACTTACGCCTTTTATAGAAATCATCTCATACTAATATTATAAAGAGGTAAAATTTGTAAGTTTATATGTAGGGGGTGGTAATCTTTAGAACCGCTTGTCGGATTGCCAAAATTCTTTCACTGATAGGTAGCTACAAAGTTCCTGAGTGCCATAAGCTATAAAACATCACGCTACGATAAAATGGAGTTGAGCAGCGAGTGAAACCGCGCAAGCATTGCCAGTACTTCATATACAGACTTAGTTATATTGTGTGGAAACCATACAAAAAATATGTCCCGTACTTTACGCACAGACAAGAAATCTCAAAAGGGGATTTTACAATGTTTTTTTGTAATAGTGCCATAATATTTAATTATCATGCAACATAATTTGGGTAAAATTATCACTATTGATTTAAATATGGACTAAAGTGGGGTAAGGGTTGTCTAGATGGCGCTTAATCTGAAGTTTGTAAACTGTCATAATAATTATGACACTGACAGTTTGTTGCTATTTGCTTAGGTCAGATTATTAGAAAATTTTACTCAAAAGTGCCATCTTAACAGTGTCTATAGATTAATGATTTTCTTTATAAATAACTATTTATTTATTTATGAACCCATAATGATAGAAGTTGATACATAAGGCGGTCTTAATGCCATATGTCATTCTCTACAATAGGGTATTTGACGACATATAAAATAAACTATAATTTATTGTCATCCTAACTAATTATAGGTAAATTAAACATATTACATTTTTTTTTAATTAAAATATCATGTATTTTCAGAGTATTTCGTGAATAAAGTTGAAAATCATTTTCTTTTTTTTTTCGGTGATAGAAACGTTCTGTCATTGGTTGCCATTGTGATGACGTCGCACGCAAGTAAACAAAGCACATTTGACAGAGTTTAGTACGCCGTTTACTTGTTATAAAGTGTTTCGATTCGATTTTTGAGTGATTATTTAACATTTTCATTTAATTTCTAACACAATTTTTTATTACGAAACTCTCGAGTACAAAATATCTAAGATGGAATCCAATTACGAGCGAGCAGATAACAGCAACAAACACAACAAAGATACCTAAGATCGACCCATTCATGGTAGCATTATTTTTTAAAAATAATGCCGATTATTATGCTGCAGAACTAAAAAATGTAAAAACAGCAGTGTAAGTACCACGCAACAATTATTTGTTTATATTTTGTACAAAAAATCATTCGTGTATTTTAGGTTATAAAAATTTCAGTACCTTCAGTAATAGTTTTATTTGCAGGTCTGCAAGAGAGTCATACGGTGATGATGCCGTTGGGTACGTCCAGCTATATCGCGACAATGGAATTTGTACAGTGAAATGTAAAATGTGCCCGGAACATAAAGTGCGCACCAAAGCTTACAATGTTACCCTAATCGTTAATGAAAATGACGGTGAAATAATAAGCTGTGAGTGCCATGACTGTGCGGCTTCAGCTGGAGGATGTAAACATGCAGTTGCCTTTTTGATGTGGGTCCATCGTCGCAGCGAGGAACCGGCATGTACTTCGGTGGAGTGTTACTGGAAGAAGCCTGCTCTGTCTAGAGTAGGAACCACTTTAAAGTTCATCACTATAGAACAAATGACCAAGACCCTTGTTCCACACAGACCTAGCACATCAGCACTATGTGAAGACTTTATTTTAGAAGCAAAAAAGAGAAAAATTAATAAGTGTGAATTGCTAAAATATCAAAACGATTTTGTGCATAGTGACATTACTCGTTACTCGTTGCATAGCTTCATGGTTAATCTACCTCAAGAAACTAAGAATGATGTAGGCTTGCTCTTAAGCGTTATGAAAAGTGCATTCACTAGTGATATAATAAAAAACATAGAAGAAGCGACTAGGCAGCAGAATAAAACTAACTTTTGGTATGAACTGCGGTATGGCCGTATCACTGCTTCAAAAGCCCACGAAGTGAGTGTTTGCCATACAACTGATGGAGCATTAGTGGCCACTATAATGGGGGCAAAAATACCTGATACAGTGGCCATGAAAAGAGGAAGAATTCTAGAGCTTTCTGTCCGGAAAGCTGTAAGCAACAAATTGAAAAAAAAAATAACTTCCTGCGGGCTTTATGTCTGTAAAGACAACCCTGTGATTGCTGCATCCCCTGATGGGGTAATGAAAGATGCTGTTATTGAAATAAAGTGTCCTACAAAGGCCAAATCTAAAACAAATTATATAAAAAATGGCATTCTTACTGCAAAATGTAAAGCGCAGGTGCAACTGCAAATGCAACTGGTCTTCATAAATGTTATTTTTGTATAGCGGATAGTAATTTTGAACACACACAAAAAGTTGATATAATGTTAGAAAATTATGATGAAGATTTTGTTAATAACTTAATAAATAAATTAACTTTTTTTTGGAAAGGAAATATATACCCTATATTACTACGTAATACAGATATAAGTGAGTAAGCAATAAAAAACATTTTACAATGGTGAAAATATCTTGTTTTATTTTTATTCCTTAACTGGCTAGACACATTATTTAATTAGAGAATCTTGCAAATTAATAAGCGCACAAGCAATTATAATAATATGGTCTAGAACGCGACATATATTTGTGTTTATAACCGAATGTTGTTTCAACATATGAAATTCTCTTAATCTTCTTATAACTCTTTCGATATGAATTCGCAAGCTTGCAATAATTTTAGTTTGTTTAACTTCGGATTTAGTCAATTTTGCACCAGCACGTACACTAGGTGGTCTTAATAATTTCATTCCTTTTGCCTGAAGTAAAGGTTCCAGGTGCTTAAAGCCTCTGTCAGCCAAAATAATTGTTCCTGGCTGTAACTCATTTAGAAAACTACAATTTTCTACTATGGTGACATCACTAGTTCTGCCACCAAACCCTTGTGAAACATAATTGACTAAACCATTGGGTGTACATGAAATTAAATACTTCACAGTATTCCCTTTTTTGTAGTCGGACCATGTTAATGCCTGATATAGAGCCTTGGATGGTTTCTGTATATCAATTTCCAGACAATCAATGATACAACTGACATTGTAATGATTGTGTCTGAAAGCAATTGGAAGATTCTTAATTATATTTTTTTTATCTAAAGCAACAATAAATGGGTTTAATACACTACTTAATATTGAGATATTAGACAAAAATATTTTACTTGCATATGATAGAGATATTCCAAAATTATCTTCTAATTCTGAAAATGTGCTATTTAGTCTAATTTTTTTTAAACAAAGTAAAATATGTTCGATTCTTATATTTGTGTGTTTATGAATTAACTGAATCAAAAAATAACAGTCTTTGGAAATACCAATATACATTGTAGGTTTGTTTTCAATCAAACGCATAGTATTTTTAAGGCACTGCAATTTTTCCATATCTTCAGTCTCGGTGGCATTACTCTCAGAGTCAGTCATTTTTGATGATGATGATGTAGCTGTAGGTACAAAAGGAGATGAATGGCCACTTTCCAAACAAGATATTTCACTGTCTGATTTATCATCTTCAAGCACAATCTTTTTCTTCACTGCTTTTACAGCTCCTGACTGTGATGGTTGAAGACGACATGGTTCAATTTTAAAAGGCGAAGTAAAACTGGATGTTGTACACACTTTCAACGGAGATGTAGAAATACTTTTATTTTGTATTCGTACTTGCACAGCCTTGCTCCTGAAATGTTTAGTCACTTTTGTTGTTACTTGAACAGATTTTTCTAGAGTTATGATAGTTTCAGTAGAAGTTTCTTTCTCTTGAGTTTTTGATGTTTCTGAAAAGACAAACACATAATATTGATTATTTATTACTTATTTTTTTTGGTTTTAATATAAATTCATAATAAATACATAGGTGACAAGTACCTTCCAGCATAACCGCATCTTGTATTATATTGTCAAGTTGTTGAATACTTTCAACTTCCGTTTCAGTAGTGCTTTGACTTTCCAAACATTCCGTGACAAGACTTCTTCTTTGCCTTTTAAGGAACGCTTCTCGAGAAGGTCCAGCTTCAGGGGATAGCCGTCTCTTGCGATCTTCTTGACAGTGAAATTTTGTTGGCACAGCCTCATCTCTCAATAATATCTTTTGACTGAAGCCCATTTTGTATTTCAGGTAGTTAGTTGTATCTTGTTCCATCTGTAATTATAGGTACAGTAATATTAGAGGTTTTTTTTGTTTTGATTGATATATTACCTCTATAATAGTTATTCTATTTAGGATTCAGTACTTATAACATCTAATTAGCAAACATTTGCCTATCAATGTTGTTTGACAAGGCAATAATATCAACAATCTGCTAAGTACTTACAAAATTGTTATAATACATTATAGGTTAGTGATAGGTACATACACAAACTGGTATGAAATAATCATTTATATGTTTAGCTAATTAAATTTAATACTTACATCAAAGTGATCTTCACACATAAAAATGTTTGTATGCGATAAAACGTTCTTTGGGTCTCTTCGAGCTAATTGTAACCACATTTTTCGTCTTTTGGGATTAGTTGGAACAGAAACGAATATTTTTTCTGGAGTTTTTATAGATGTATTTTTACATTCTGGCACCGTACACCATTTATACACCATTATCACGGTTTAATTAAAGAAAAACCACGGAAAAACAGCTTGTCTCCTTTGATTGTACCTTTGTTTACTTGTGTGTGACGTCATCCACGTCATGTGACCGGCGCCATTTTCTAAAAAGCATTTTTCGCGCGAATTGGGGAATTTAAACTTAAATATTTATTTTCTTTAAAAATAAATAATATTTTACGAAAATATTAATACAATATGCCTATTTCATAACAAAGAATAGTTAAATAATATTTTTCAAAAATTGTCAAATACCCTATTCAACCATTTGGTCAAGTATCAGCTAAAAATAGGTACAGGAAATAATATTTGTAAATAAACCTCAAAAAGGAATATACTAATAAAAGTATAATTGTATAAATGACAAGCTACTCTCGCGCGGTTTCGCGGTTCCCGCTGTTCGGCTCCATTTGATCGTAGCGTGATGTTTTATAGCATTCGGGAACATTGTAGCTATCTATCAGTGAAAGAATTTTGACAATCCGACCAGCGGTACCAAAGATTACCCCCTACATACAAACATACAAACTTACAAATTTTACCTCTTTATAATATAAGTATAGATTACAAGGTAATAAGAATTGAAAGAAATGTATTTGTGTCGACAAACTCACTCTTCTCCTTAAGCTTGAGCAGGTTGATTTGTGTGAGTATAGCGATGTATGCCCCTCCGTCGTATCGGAGGTCTGCGTCGAGCCAGACTCCGCGCGGGTCGCAGGCCGGCGGCAGGACGCGCTCCACCATGGGACACGCGCCCGACAGGGACAACTCCGTCACCACCAACGGGGACATGAACGATGGCAGCTGGGAACAGAACAAATACTTATTATATATTTATTTATTAAAATAAAAAAATATATTGTTTTAAGTGTGGGAGTGCTAAGCTTCGGCTCCAATGGATCGGCTCGACCGGAGTAATACCACGGCCTCACAGAAAAATGGCGTAAAATAACGACAGCGTTGTGTTTCGCCGTGTGAGTGAGGTTACCGGAGGCCCAATCCTTCCCCACCCCCCAACATCCCTAAACCTAAACACCTTATCGTGAAAGGATGGTAACGAACTTAAAATTTGATGTAGCATATAAGTCATTGGCCGGCGCCGATTGCTTACCATCAGGTAATACGTAAGCTTTCTTGCCGCTGTATCACATATAAAAGCTAATCTGCATTATACACTTTACCTTTAGAGTATTCAGTTTCCTCTGTATCCTGTTCTGGAGTTTATTGATCATGATAGGATCCCTCATCAGGTCGTACATGATCCGCGCTAATACTGTGTTCACCCACGTCACTTCCGCCGGGAGCAGGCGGCATGTGCACTCTGTCGCACTCTTACTCTGTGGTTAAAAGAATAAAGAAACATTACAAATGCCGCACAAAAATTCTTTTCCTGAATACTGGCTATCACTTACAGCCAAATATAATCTACTAAGATATTTATAACTTCAATATGAATATATTTAGTAACTAAATCAAACATTAATAATTAAATGAAAGGAAATAAAATCTACACTACTTCCTACAACAATCTATAAACAATGTTACGATGAATCATCATTTTAATTCCAATCAGTATATAAAAACAACTAAAAAACTAAAATAAAATTCAAATTTACCAAAAATAAAAACTAAATAAATAAAAATAAAAACAAGACAAACATCTTTTCTCTTCTTTTTATTCTTGGACCTTTCGCGCGGCGTCGGCTCTAACTGACACATCACTCCCACTTCTGACGTTTGTTTTAACGTCATCTCATGACTCTGTATCACGTGTTATTGGGATTTTAGACCTTATATACTTTGAAAAGCATAGTTTTACTAAAATATTTCTTTGATTAAATTCAAGTACGATTAACTTGTCTATGTCAAATTATTTTTACGATTTTCGACCTTATAGACTTTTAACGGCTGATTGAGGCTAAAATTTTCAGTTGTCAGATAAATGTTATCTGAGGAATAAAAATGTTGCTGTCACTGTCTTATACAAATATTCTGACGAGACAGCATCATAATTATCACCCCGGTAACTTTTATCTAACCATTGAAAAATCAGCCCTAACTGTTATAAATACGTACATAAATACGAGTATGGTTATAAGTCATGGCTACTTATTTTCACGTTTCACGTATCATTGTTATTATTAATAGGAATTTAAACCTTACAGACAACATAAAGCAAAAGTGAACAAAAATATTCCGTTAACTGACTCATACTTCATCTTCATATGTCGAATTCAGTGAAACGTTAGGAGAATTTTAGACCTTATAAACTTCATACATCTAATCTGAAGAAAAATATTGCCTTGCCTGCCTTCTGAGTTTTAAATTACAATGAAATCAAATCTTACGCGTCATAGTTATAAGGTTCAATTTTACCTGAATGATTTTCAAGAGGTACGGCCAGAAGGTCTTCTCATAGTCCGATTCTATAGTCATGGGTTGCGATATTGACGTGATTGTGACACCACCACCTTCTGATAACGAGTCTGTAGTTTTGCTCTGTAATACATACATATTTTTTATAGGTTGGAATAGAAAAGATTGGGAGAGCCAAGCTGCGGCACGAATAGGTCGGCTCGACCAGAGAGATACTCGATAGGTAGTGTAGGGTAGGTAAGGTATGGTAGGCAAGGTAGGGTAGGTAAGGTAGGGTAGGGTAGGTTAGGTAGTGTAGGATAGGGTAAGTTAGGTAGAGTAGGTAGTGTAGGTAGAGTGTGGTGGATAGAGTAGGGAAGGTAGCGTAGGGTAGGTAGATAGGGTGAGAAGTGTAGGTAGGTAACTAAGTTAGGTAGTGTAGGTCAAATGACGGGAACCAAGCTGCAGGTAAGAGCTAGTTATACATATAAACCTTCCTCTTTTTTATATAAAAAAGCCGTATCACAATCCATAGTGTAGAGTCATCGATCACTAATAAAGAACTAGATACACAATCAGTGGCAAAAAAATGTCCCAACTGAAAGTCCACCAAACTCAACATCGCGGTGTAGTTTTAGTTTAGTACCACTCGAATGCTCCGACGGTAAACACGCCTCAGTGCTCGTTAAAAAACTGCAAAAACACACACATCTAAGTTGCAAAAAAGGATGGAATTTCATATTTTCGTTAAGTAATAATATTATCATTATATAATTGTCATCATTCTATTTTAAATATTGATATTTTATTAAGAAATCAACTTTAAAACTTTTTCCAAATGAAATCGTATTCAAAAACCGGGGTTATAATGCACACAGTTTATAAAGACACTTATACTAAACTTAAAATCATTCTCTAGCATGACCACTTAAGTTGTTCGGTTTACGTGGATTGATTCTGTTCCGTTTAGTGGAGACGCTATTGTTTCTAATTTTATTTATTGTTTTTTTTTTATTAAAAAATAGTTTTTATTTAATATTATACTTCTTTACTGTGTTTATTAAAATATGGAATAGGCAGATGTAATGGATTTAATTTTAACTGCAGTAAAGAAATTTTTTTTTTAGCTTTCATCAAGACCCGTTCGATATGAAAAATTGACAACAATAACGCCAACATTTTCAGTACTTACTTTAGATATATATTCTTTTTATTATTTTACATCTTTTTTATTTGACTTCGAATAGAAAGGATTAAGGAGGACGAAAACAAAAAAAAAAGAATTATAACTATATGCATTAGTTTCATTGGTAAACAAATGAACAAACCTATAGAAAAGAATACTATAAGTAATGCGTTTTAAATTGCGTATTTTCTTTTTTTGATAAATTATAAAATACGAAAGAAATATATTTCTTACGAGACATTTCGACTCCAATCATTCTTTGTCCTAGCGGTGAGCCGAAGTCGTTAAATTTTATTGCTTATTTTTGACACTTTGTAAATTCGACTTAAAAACATGCGAATATGGTTCAATTTCTTATGATTTGTGTTTGTCAAGAGCTTCGGTCGCAAAAAGTATTAAGATTTTGTACATCACTTTGTAAAAACAACTCTATGAGTTGCATTTAAGGTTTAATTTACATTAATGCATTTTTATTTCAAGTATAAGTACCTAAATACAGTTAGCGACAGTTTTGAAGCGAACTTTTGTATGGGATTGTGTATCTAGTTCTTTATTAGTGATCGATGTGTAGAGTAAATTAATTGTATGTCACACAGGAATATAGGGACCAAGAAAGCGACTTTGTTTTATACTATGTAGTTGATACTCACAGAAGATTTAGCGAAGGCCACTGTTTCTTTTTCAGTAAGTTTGTACACAGCCATCTCGATATTGTCCTTGCTCTCTGCGGACTCGCTGCCCGTCTTGTCCTCAGCCATTGAAGTCTCGGCAGAGTTCGCATTGGCTTCGTTCACAGCTATTACTAGACGACGATACCTAAGGGGTAGATGAATAGTATTACCTATTATATAAAATATATAATATACTAGCGGCCCGCCCCCGCTTCGCGCGGGTCCAACTATCTCGCTATCAAAGGGTCACTATTCCTAATCTTCCCCTCAACTTTTCTAATATTTTCTTTGATAAGAACCTTCTCCTGACAATAACAAATACAACAAAAAAAGAATTAGCAAAATTGGTCCAGGCGTTGTTGAGTTATGCTCTTACCAACACATTTTGCAATCCATTTTATTTAAAAAGATTATATAATTTTTTTATTAAAAAAAAATAGTTATAAAAAAACTTGAGATTTTTCAAAACAAAGTCGTCAGTGGAGCTAGATACCAGTTCCAAACTGTAAATTCTCATAGAAAAAACGAGCAAGAAACTCTTTTATGTGCCAAAATGTTTAAGTGAGAGAGCCATGCTTCGACACTACTAGACTGACTTGACCATAGTGATACAAAGGCCTCACAGAAAACTGGTGTGAAACAGTGATTCGTTTCTTTATGTGCGACAGGTTCCTAGACACTAAATCCCTACACTTTTCAATCTCTAATTCTGTAACAAACCCCAAATGGGTGACAAAACGCACTAGTAACTCCTTTGTTGTAACAAGTGTCCATAGACGGTGCCAATTGCTTACCATCAGGTAATCCGTCATTATTTTTGTCATCTTGTGGCATCAAAAAATAATTTTGACTTAGTAACTGATCTATACTAATATTATAAGGAGGTAAAATTTTTAAGTTTGTATCTCGGGGGTAATCTTTGGAGCCGCTGGACGGATTGCGAAAATTCTTTCACTGATAATGTCGCTAAAAATCTCAGTTAGGGCAAGCCTGAAATATGAAATTATTTATGAAAAATGTACAATAAGCACATTTTTCATAAATAATTTCATACCCTAACATAACCAGGATCTACTAACACAATTTTGATAGCCAGGCAAGCAAATATAGCACTTATGATTCATTGTCTGAAAATGCAATTTATTTTGTCAAACGCCAATTACCATTTCGTACTCTAAACATGTTATAACGTGATACAGAAATCAATAAGCCAGTAATTTGATTGAGGATGACTCAACTGTACACAACATAACAGATTATAAAAGATAATGTTAACACACACAATCAATGTAGTATTTAGAAGACGTTAATTACTATCTAAAAATACCTTAACGATTTAGGTAGATAAAGATATAACAATAATATCTACTATAATCTCTGTTTGTTTTAGTAAAATTATAAGGAAAACTGTTGTAATGTTTCGGGCGTTTTGTAATATTTTTCTTTGTCATCCTGATCAGTCCTGATGCACACACTAGGTGCAATTCCAGACTCTCTGTATAGATGGAATCACCAATGGCGGAAGAAGTTATTAGCCAATGTTTCGAGAGCGATGAGAAAGAGGGATGGTAGCTATACATATTTTATAGCGCCATCCCTCTTTCTCGCCCGAAAGATTCACGCTTTAACACGTCATGGTAGGCCTACAGTAGGCAATAAAAAAGCCAGGTTTTCATTCTCAGTCGGGTGTAATATTATTGGTGGTTTACGATACTTTGCCTTTTTTTGAAGCGAAACATTGGCTAATAACTTCTCCTGCCCTTGGTGGGGTGGGGCGACAGAGACAGACAGACTTACGGTCAAAACCATTTTGTTCATTCACATATTGGTAGGCCCAAGTGTGGACCTAAGATAGTTGTAAAAAAAATATTTGTCTTACCACTCGTGCTTATCCCGTCCCGTCCTCGCAAACAGGTACAGATGTGAGTGCTTGTCTGTGGACTGTTTTACGTGCACGCTCCATTCTCCTTCACCCGTACCTTCCGCCCCTGTCTCCATCTCCTAAGGATAAAGAACTTAATTGTTAATCATGTTCAATTGCTAATACATCTATACTCAATCATATTATAAGTAAAAAGGTGTAGATAGGTTACAAGCTCTCAGCCAGTGAAACAATAAAATGTGGCTAACTAGCCACATTTTTTCACTCGCGATTATTGAATCATGCCATCTCACTTTCACGTCTAAACATACGAATTCTTCATGTGTGTATCAGTGTGTCGTTTTTGAAAATCGAATTTTGTTTAGGTAACCTATCTACACCATTTTACTTATAATATCATTGTCTATACTAATATTATTATAAACAGTAAGAAATAAAAATGACTAACAATATACATTTAAAACTCGTTCCAGGGCGTATTTTGTTTTACGTTTTGGCGTGATTATATAGCTGGCACCGAAGAAGGACTTTTATTACGGTATAATACATATATTAGTTGTATGGAGAACCCATAAATGCATTTACACTTCAAATAACTATTCTAATAAACAGTTGAATAATATGCAATGATGACGTAATTATTCTATTATACATGTAACTATTAGAAGTGTGGTTGAAGTTCAAGGTTAGATTAAAACTGCTCAAAGGAAAATATATGTCTATCTAACTATATATAGATTTATATAGGAGGAAGTTTGGTTAAAAAAAAAACAATTTATAACGAATAGTATTTTTTGTTGTAAGTTATAAAAAGAAGGAGGATAATAGCAAGTTTTTTTCAATTCTAATGAAGTCGTTATAAACTTTATTCGTGTACTTGAAATAAAGTTTGGCTGTGTATTTAATTATGCTCCCTATGACCATTAATATAAAATTCATTTCGGATTAAATTATTAATTATAGTTATCCTCATCATATCAGCTAAGATATCCACTACAGAACACAGGCCTCGCTCTCTCTGATCTTCGGCTCAGCCCATTGGACAACCTGGATCCTTCTATGCAACCTTTTTCATATGAGATGCTTCGTTCTCACTTCCAATAGTATAATAAAACGACACGACTATCTAAAATTAATGTATTCAAATCACAATTTAAGCTTTTATTTAGTACCAATTTTCAGCAATCATTGTCTGTTTTTATGTGTATTTTATCTTAACAATCACGTTAAAGAACAATAATACGGTAGTTTCCAACTGATACTTGAACAGATACTTTTCTATGAAAGTTGTATGAAAAACTGAGGTATGACGTCATACCTCACTACAACTAATGTATTCAAATCACAATTTAAGCTTTTATTTAGTACCAATTTTCAGCAATCATTGTCTGTTTTTATGTGTATTTTATCTTAACAATCACGTTAAAGAACAATAATACGGTAGTTTCCAACTGATACTTGAACAGATACTTTTCTATGAAAGTTGTATGAAAAACTGAGGTATGACGTCATAGTATTTTTGCGTCAAATCGCTTACTTATTTCTTAATAATTTGCTATAAAATATCTAAAACTTAGTGATTCGATCGATCGATGAATAAAAGTATAGTATATTTAAATATTTTATTGTATTGAAACATCAAATTAATTTATTTTTTACCTAGGAAACTACCCAATTCAGATTTACAATAATAGTACAAAAACCTGATACTGAAGGCACAAGACAGAGGCAAATACCGACTATCAGTTTGTCCCTTCAACAAATTTTCCCACTTACCGTCTCCTCCAGGAACTCCTTGATTTTAGTCAGCTCGTTATCATCAAACTCTTCATCATTATCGTCCTTAGTACTGGTCACGGAGCGAGACGAGAGTTCTATCTCTTGATCGTGGAACGAATCCTCGCCACACAGGGCCTTCTCTGTTTTGACGTGACTCTGGCTTTGAGTCTCCACTGGTTCTGTTGCTGTAGATACGCTGTCTGTCTTCTTGTCTGCAGTAGAAAGATGGAATTAGTTTTGTGGATTTCTATGTGACTGGTACAAAACTTGTGGGAGAAAAAGGGGACAGCACTGTATATTTATTGCATATTTCTTTATTTACCTACGTGTTATGTTCTATTTATAAAATGTTATAAGGAGATACGTATATACTAATTAAAATATGTACCACATACTATAATAATATAATATACTAGCAGCGGTCACAATCATTTGTTTTATTAGCAAACCTCCACGGATTTGGGGTGATAATAGGTCTTTACCTATGAAATTGCCGTTTTGCATGAAAAAACATAAACGAATTTTTTGATTTGTAATGCGATGACAATGTAACACTAATCAATAAACAAATGACTACTTTTGGGAAAAGAATTCCATGTTTTAAAACAAAATTAATTAGCCTTAGCCTAACAAAAACTATTTTGATTTGAAATGGTCAGTACTGCAGAACAGCAATTTCATAGGTAAAGACCTATTATATCTAGATTTCCCGTACATTATACTTTTTTTTTATTTCGTTTTCCTAACCTTGTCAAATACAGTATAAAAGGAAATATCGAAATTAGTCTCACGATTCACGCATGATGCCACGACCAAGAGAAATTGGGAATCATACATATATATTTAACTTTACTTAATCATATTTTTTTGCGATTCATAATTACTTTTATTACCGATTTGTACACATACATATGTACTAACAAATGGGTAAGTGTGTTTAATGCAAAAAGGGTACCATGTTTTCGATTTGTTAGTTCTGTACAGCAAATAGTAAATACAATATAGATTGGTAAACGTCGCGTATAATAGATACGAATTATTGTTTAACTAGTACATGACTCACAGTACGGATAACACGTCTGGATTGCACAAGACGTAGTAATTTATTTTATTATATTATTAAATAATGTACAATATAACTATGACAAATAGTCATTGTGTGATGTCAATGTGATATTTTTTTAATGAAATAAGTCGGCAACACCAAAGGCGTTACGAGTGCTTTGTCGGCCTTTTGGGGATGAGGGTTGCGGATATAAGGATTGGGAAGGGATAGGGCAGGAGGATTGGGCCTCCGGTAACCTCACTCACACGACTAAACACTGTGGTTGTTTCACACCGGTTTTCTGTGAGGCCGTGGTTATAACTCCGGTCGAGCCGACCCATTCGTGCCGAAGCTTGACTGTCCCATACTTATTAATAAAAAAGCTTACCTCTGTGCATTTTTCTGACGAGCCTATGTCTGAGCCCCTCTTTTCCTGTTTCGCCGTCGGAATGTGAAGTACTGGAATAATGAGACATTAATATTTTAGGTCATCTTCCTTATTCATGGATGCCGAATTTAAAGTATCTTTTTTAATGTAATATGGTGGAAAGCTTTTGTTAGAATAGGTATTAAAAAAGACTACGCTGTTTCCTTGAAGACGTTTGCAAAATCTTAGATCAGGAAAAGCATTATCAGAGAAAGTATAGAGTCTGGATGAATCTTGAGTAAGGGTCAGCTCCTATAATCATTACTATAATTATCTAATCATTACTAAACCAGGTTATAATTAAATGTATGGGCCTTTTTGTGTGAAGGGAAAATCATCAAATGACTTCTCCCGCCCTAGGTGAAACGGGAGGAAATGTCAGACGCTTCTCTTCTTGGATCTTTGAGTGTTGACTTCTCAAAAAACAAAAAAGAAATGACAATATGAAATAAAAGTATATTTTTTTTACTTAGTACTTCAATACTGACCTCTTTTCTCGTCTCCTCCACACAAACTTGCGTTTTTTCTCAGGACTAGTATTAGTTTCTGTCTCCATTTCATGTTGCGGCTGTTGTGGTTCCTTCTTCTTCTCAGAAGGAGTCGCTTCTGTTGTTTTCTTTTCCGCCGAAGAATTTTCTTTCTCTAACACTTGTATTTTTTCTTTGTCGCTTAGAATTATACATATTGGGTACTTCTTGCTCCATTGTCTACGAATAATAAAAATAGGTTGGATATTAACATGGGGAAGAAATGCATAGATTATTAGTACGCTGACTTATAAGTAAGTTTGTGAGGAAATCTTGTGTCAACGAAACAATGATATAATGAGTTTATTTTTGAAAATAGGCCATAAAACGGCACTTTTACACGTAAAATACTAAATGAAGCTGGCATTTCCTAATTGACTACTCTGAGAAGAAATGCCGAAACAAACTCAGAGGTTTCAGTAGTGGTTTCATTACTTCTTTAATAGGATAAAAGGACCATCAAACACTTGTAGGTAGAGGCTGATCAAGCCTATACAAATATTCAAAGATAAAATATACGTCGCACCTGTCTGTTAATGTTAACTTCAACATTCATCAGTGCAAATGTGGTTTTAGTATCTAAAAGAAAGTTAATGTACAATTTGAAAACATTTGAGTACCTCAGGCCGACAAAGTGCCCAAAGCTATTAAGGACAAGTACTTATTTTCTAACAAAACCTTTCTTTATTATCAAAACTACAATCTTAAAAACCGTATAAGTACCTACATTCCTATTGTGGAATCTATAGGCGTAACTATACATAATATAATAACAATAATCAGACACGTGGAATGTATAACAAATGCAATCTGGACTAACAATGAATGCACAGCACTGTCAATTGCTTATAACCTTGGTTTCTCTGAAGGCAATACGTTCGAAGTAGTAATATAATATTTTCGATACGTAGTTTAGTTGGTAAACAGATATACCACAGTGGCCGGACAACCAGCTAACGTTGAATGGAACGTGTTGCGGTTTCGTTTCCCATATGAAAAAGCTTTTTGTGTTTTTTTTTATGTGACAGGTCGACAAACGATCAGACGGATAACCTGATGGTAAGCAATCAGCGCCAACCAAGGACACCCGCAACAGCAGAAGAGTTACGAGTGCGTTGCCGACCTTTTGGGGATTAGGGATTTGGAGAATAGGGATTGAGGAGGGATTGGGGGAGGGGAAGGATTGGGCCTCCGGTAACCTCACTTACACGGCGAAACACAACGTTGTGGTTGTTTCACGCCGGTTTTCTTTGAGGACGTGGAATCGCTTCGGTCGAGCCGAAGCATGGTTCTCCCACACTTAATTTTTTTGTAAATTTAGATTGTTGTTCTGTCTGATGATCAACTTTAACTGTTCTGGGTATGATGTGTATGTGATATTGTATGTTGTACTAGCTCTTACCCGCGGCGCCGCTCCCGTCATTTGAGTACCTACCCTACTCTATGTACCTTACACTACCTACCCTACTCTACCTCCCTACTATACCTAACCTACTCTATCCTATCCTATGTCCTGGCTCTAAACTACCTCCCTGCCGATTTTTAGCTAAATCGGTTCAGCCGTTCTTGAGTTATAAGTGGAGTAACTAACACGACTCTCTTTTCTATATATAGATGTAACGAGGATCACGTCCTAGACTTCTAACAAATATAAGTAGCTATTATTATTAAATTGCACATAGGTGCTGTAATTATTTTATTTGTCATATGAGCCTTAATCATGTTCGTGTCATTATTTTACATGTAGCGCTTGGCCATCTGCCTTGCTTGTGTGATATCTGTATCATTGATACGAGTATGAGTAACAGTATTATTAGCATTTTTTTTACCTCGCAATTTTGTTGTAGGTATAGGAAAAGATACCAAACTTTGTATTGCAGTAACAAGTACAATACCAACAACATAACCATATACATACATACCTATAGAGATCCACCTATGAACATCTAAGGATAGGAATCTGATATAGCTACCTAAATACTACAGTATCTACTCAATCTGAAGCGAACAATATTTTTTTAAGTAACTACTCGTACATTTCTATTTTGAGTTCATTTTAAATAGTTACTTACATATAAATACTTGATACTGATATACTGCATATTTTAGATACTTATATCGAGAAAATATATCTAATTGGACGTTTCTATTCTTCGTTTTCATAGCGTGGTCATCAATAGCTCTGGTAATAATAGCGATCAGATAAGGTATTGGCTTATCAGATCATTAACTATGTTAGTATCAGGTTAAGAGATTACAATCACATAAGTTTATTTAAAAATATTCACGAACATATCGAATTCTCGGTTTTATTTGCCAAGAACTTATTATCTGCGTAGCGTTGAGTTTCTAGAGCACTGATGACTGATTACCAATCAACGTCAACAAATTAAAAATATGTAGTAAGTCCCAAAAGTTAGAAATTAAAACAAGCCTGTGATAGTTCACTGTTGAACCTTGGCTTCTACTTTTAGTCCGATAAATATACACATTTGAATTAACAAAAAATCTCTCAGAGCTACAAATTGGTCTGAAGTAATTTTTCGAAAAACCTCAATTTTCGACTATGATCTTTGACCCCGAATAACTTTTACGGGATCAATGGGGACTTGTTATATACCTATATGAGTATTTATTTAAAATTGCGAAACAATGGTTTCCACCAATATTTGGATCTGTCAGATTTTTTGCTAATTGACCACTAAGTTTATGCCTATATTCATTGGTCTATTAAAAGGATTTGCGATGACTTTCAGCAATTCCTTAGTTAAGCCGGATTCGCCATAATTTTAACTAAACGAATCAAATTTTATGAGGTAGCTATACCTAGAACCTAATTTTCTTACACTTAGTAGTACTTACACTAGTACAACTCTGTTTAAAATAGGTACTTGGAAAACTAAACAGCAGTAAATAATTCATTCAAATGTCAGTTAGGCCTCATTGTTATGAGACAATTAGCGTGATGAATGCTATTAGAGCTCGGGCCAGGGACTTTTTGTATGACTACATACTATACGACAATTATATACAATATACACATGACAAATATTTAAATAAGCGGATAAAAATATGCGACGTTTTCATATTGCGTCGAGACCATGTACATATAAAAAAAAAGAATTTGGATATTAAGTAATAACCGTCTGTTTATATTACATTTCGGAAATACCGAGACCCGACTCGGAGCAGAAATTGGAAAGGGGTTTTAGTTTGTAGGAGCTTGACGCTCCCCGCATCCAAGGGAGGAAGGATAAATTCGATTATTAAAAATATTATTAACTATCTGAAAGTATTCTATAAAACCTTTTTCGTCAGTCATATTGGAAACTATTCATAAATAATCTTCCTGTTTACAACTTATTTTAATTAAAACCAAAGATATGCCTAAAATAATATTCAAAATGAAACGAAAATTCGTCGTCAAATGCTTATTAAAATTATTATCGCAACAGCAAAATTACATAATAGAACACAATAGCCGGAATTCGCAGCAAATATTAGCATTTATTTCCTTTATCAGTCACGGACGCGGAGGAAATCCGTGTGTACTAAACTGTAACATTTTACTCTGTTAGATAATTTTTGTGCCAAAACTTCGTTACGACACAAAACAATAATGAATCCAGGTCGCTGTTGTAATTACACGGATGGCTTAATTACGCCAATTGTGTAGTTAATATTGTTTAGTGTAAACAGTTCATTGTTTAGTCTATAGTTAGTTTTAAAGAACATGTTTATTACTAGCTCGAGTACGTCCTAACGTCCAGACACGGGTAGTATCATATTCTAATTCTTCCAGTGACTTGGTACGATGCTTCAATGAATGGGAGTACGCCTTTCTTAAGGAGGCATACACGAGCTTGTAACTGGAAGCCCCCCACCCTCCTTATAATAAACCTCCTAATCACGAACAACCCCAAGAAGGCTTGAAACTCTTCTGGTGTTACCATTAGGTGATATGTAATCTCTTTAGCCGCCAAATCCCAAGATTGGTTAAATAATTTCCAAATCAGAACCAATCAGGTGTCGAGCGCCTTACCGTAGAACAAATTTAATATGCATTTCTTTCAATCAGGGTCTCCAAAGAAGTTTATATATAAATCTACGCGTTTACATACAGAGATTGTTAAAGGCTAGAATTTTATACGCCTTTTATTTGAGAAAGGCGTGAAGATTTGTGTTATTGGTCCGTTGTTTCATAATCATTTTGTTCTCCTTTAATAATGGATTTAAGTTTGAAGGCTGCTTAGTAATAGTAGAAACAAGTTCATAACAAATTGATAATTGTAGAATAGACGGTCTTGGCTGCGCAAAGTAGCCGCAACGCGGACGCTGCTCATAAGAGTCCCATTGCAACTTGAAACTAGTAGAGCGTTTCTCGGTTAGTTAACGTAAGTCGTGAATATAAAAATAAATCAGCAAAGGGGAACAAGGGTCAGGGGTTTTTGTTAGGGAAACGTCAAATGCCTTCTCTCGCTCAGGGTGAAGCGAGAGGGAGTTTCAGGCTCTTACTGACTGAAAATTCCTCCGTTCCTTCTCCTGCTCAAGGCCGAGGCCGCAGTACCTTATATCGCTTGCCCTGCAACCCCAGGTAGGTAGGAAAGGTACAGCGTCAACGAAGTTGCCTTAAGCCAGCTAGATTACCTAGTTTTATTTCAATAAATGTTGTATGTCTTAAGATAATCAATTTACAAAAAAGTGCATAATATAGTTTCACGGTAATAATAGCGAAAGTAGATTAAACAGCGACAAATAAAAAACCGGTTTCCATTTCTCTACTAGTGACAATATTTATTTTTAGTATCATTCGATGTCCTTGACTTTGGTAGTATACGAAGCGAGTTTTATTTTCGCAAAAAAATAGACAATGAGGTCGGTTAGCAAACAGCTTACAAAGTGTCTCTAGGCAGATATTTTGTTGGTATTTTGATAATGGCAAGCGCGTATATTTCCATACAAAAACATACTTTTCCCCGTTGTTTAAGTTTGTCACACTAGTGTCTTATGTCTCTTACATTTTTCCTTTCGAAGGAAAAATATAAATACGTACCTCTGTCTCTGTATTTGTCTCTATTTACTGTATGTGTAATATGCATAAATAATAAATAAATACTAACTAACTAACTAAACAATCTAAATTCTTGTTCAAGTTCAAGAATTTCTAAAATATTGATATGTCCTTTTTTGTTAGGGTATCAAACGACTTTTCCCGCCCAGGATTAGGCGAGATAGAATGTCACTCTTACTGACTAAAAACTCCCCTGTTCTCCTGCTTTAGGCCGAGGCCGCGGTGGCTCATTGCGCTTACCCAGCAACGCCGGCAAAATATTGATGTGTTAAAATGCTATTTGGTAAACTATTTATTGCACAAATATATTGCTTTCAAGGTTGCGAGTGCAAACACACTAATGTACCACAGCACCTGCTAGGAATAGGAAAAGGAACGTGGTGGGTTTTTTTGTCAGTACCTAAGAGTCTGACTCTCTCTCTCTCTCCCCACCAAAAGTCGGAGAAAAATCTATGATTCTCTCTCTGAAAAAAAAAAAATTATAATACAGGCGTATGCCTAGCGATGACGTTGTAGATGTATAATTATACGTAGACTATAGAAACATTTTACTGTTTGGCAGTCCAAGTTTTTGTTTCTACTAATAGTATAAAAACCTTTCGGCGTCTCGTAAAGCAGATACATATCAAAGCACCAGCTAATCACGCAGTTCCACCCGCTACTAAGCCTCTATACGTCGTAGAGTGATGTTTCAGAGTCTATGACCTATCTAGATAAATTGATTTATCCAAAATATAAAGAATTGTTCAATTCGAAGAAGCGGTTCCGGAGATTAATACGTTCAAATAAATTAAAAAATAACACTACAGCTACTCATAATACGTGTTTTATACAAAAATAAGACATAACTATCAAGACCTAGGAAAATAATTGATTGGAAACAATGAAAAACGTTCGGAGTGGCGCCACGCTGCACCCAGTTAGTTCATTAACCCAATTACTCGTTAGTTGCACTTAATGCACTCACGCGCATAGAAGGCCTTGTAAGTACACTACACAAGGCAAAACAGCACATCGACGTACACCAATCAATCAATCGATTTTAAACCTTAACACGAACATATAAAGTAAAAATTCTATTGAACCAAATTTTACTAAGTGAATAGTTCCTAGCTGCTTATCAACGCTTTGTTCGTGACCTTTATAGAAGTAAAATACAGCGTAGACGTCACTTTATCGTATACAAACATTGAGAACAAAATATACAACACGTTTTTTTTTTAATAGGTAAGCTTTTTGTAACACGTGACTTGAGTTACTACGCACCAGTTTTTTTTTTAATTTATTGATAGATACTATTGAGAAATCCTACTTGTATTTCTTATGAACGCGAATGTTTGTAAATATGGCTGGCATGGAGCTGCTTTCAAGTAGAATGTAGTTTAACGAAAATTGAGACACAGATAAATTAAGTAAAGTCTGGAATGCACATTGCTGGCAGATGCTAAGTTATTGTAATAAGAGGGATTTGTTTGTTTAAACGCACTAATCCTCGGAATTACTGGGTTGAATTTAACAATTCTTGTTGTGAAGACTATATATTCTGTCTAGATAATTGAACTATCCAACACAACAATCTACAACAATCTAAGCTGAAAGCAGCTAGTTTTGTTATAAAAAACAATCGGAGATGTAAAGACAAATTTTATTTATAATTTTATTTATTTAGTGAAAAAACTGGATTCACTTGTTGTTTATACAACAACATCTATTCCAAATACAAATTGCTGGCTGATGTTAAAAAAAGCTTTACGATGTCACTGGCTATTGTAAATGATCTTATATATAAATTACTTTTCTAAATATAACAGAATTCATATTTGACATGCACAATGTCTATATCGCTACATAGTATAAAACAAAGTCGCTTTCTTTGTCCCTTTATCCCTATATGTATGTTTTCTTTAAAACTACGCAACGGATTTTGATGAGGTATTTTTATAGATAGAAAGATCGAAGAGGAAGATTTATATGAATAATAACATTCATAAAATAGTAGACATATTTTGTATAAGCATTGAAACCATGCGAGGCCATGGCGGGTCGCTAGTATATATAATAAATAAATTGTTCATTGAAGGAGAACAATTTATCGATATGTATTTCATACGTATATTACATCGTATTTGACGCGCCAACGGCTGATCGAATTCAAAGTGACATAACACAATTTAACATCATAAGTTTGAAAATAACAAGGCGTTGCGTCGTTCGGAAGGATTGAATAAATTATCTAAAAATAGCTTATTTGTTAGCTAGCTTATAATAGTAGCCCGGAGTTTCGATACCTGGCAAATCATTTCAACACCACTGACAGCTTTGTGAGAAAAAGTCTTAAATAAACTTGGACTAGAACGAATTATTAAAAAAAAGAAATTAATGCTTGAACCTTCTCGGTGTGATTATTTCTTAATATTTTATTGTAAGTACTCAGTTCCTATAATTATGTTCTAGAGACGTTTCAAGTTACCACTACTTGTCATTTTACAAGATTTTAAATCTTATCCTTTGGTGATAAAGACGAAAATCTATTGAACGAATTTTGACAATACTTGAAGACTAATGACTAATCAACTAATAGAAAAAATGCAGCGACTTGAGTCGAGCGAACCACAAATGTTTGTTTTGTCGGCGATTACGTCAACACTACACAGACTTTACATTTGACAAAATGCTGTAAGTACTAAAATTGTTCTTATGGCTTATGAATTAAGAATGTTTTTATTGTGATGTTTTTTTTTCCAAGAATTGTACCACTTGTTCTATGTAGGCAATTTGGATGTTATGTTCAGTTTTATCTGGGTTGTATCTGGACTTCTAGATGTTTATTACTTACAAAAGCCAAAATAGCCTAATAGATCTAACGAAATTAGGCATCAAATCATGTTTAGCACTAACGACCTCCGGTTTCCGAAAGGCCGATCAATGTTAAAATCAATTTAATCTCTAGTCAAGTAATCTGATTGGTTGACTGAATTATCAACAACCAATCAGATGACTTAACAAGAGGAGATTACTTAATTTTAGCGTTGACAAGCCTTTCAGAAACCGGGTGTAAGACTTAAAATGTTAATACGAAAATAACCTTTTTGTATTACGATTATGTTTTATTTATAAAAAACTGAACAAATCGAAGGGAAAAGTCGGGATAATAAGTTTAAGTCAGAGTAAAACCTTGCCTTCTTCAAGGCCCGATTAAATCTAAATAGGTTGCTTATCCTCAATTTTGTGAGTGCCCACAGAATTAAAATAATGTGCCAATGCCACTAACCTCCTTTTAACTAATCCTTTGGGCAGCAATATCACTCGTGCCCCAGTCAAATTGTACAGCCTATGTTGATAGAATGATACCTTTTCTAATTTCTCGTCCCAAAGCGCCCTCTTTGGTATTTTGGTTGAAGTGTACGATATCCTTAGATTACATCCTGTAAACAAAACTCAGCGGTAATGATATGATAAAGGAATAATTAATGGGACCATGCTTCCACGTGCAACCAACACGCATTTGAAACTTCATCTTATTTGTTATTGGATATTTAACTTTATTCCTTTACAATAAGACTTAAAATAGTTGGAAATTCGGGTAGCTGCACGTGCTATGGTAAAGAAAATTGTTAGATAGAAAATGTTTACCGAAATATGATGTAATATTATCGAGTTGATAAGCGAGAGTGTTATACATGTATAATGAATGACTCACCTTCGAGCTTCATAAATGCCGTCGTAGTTTTGTTAATGTGGTATGTTCCCGGGTCGTAATCCGGTACCCTGTAGTGGTTGATCCAATTCTAAAAGACAAAACGAACTATATAATTATAAAGCGTGGTAAGTATTAATACATACATAAAGTAACTGATCACTATTTTATAAGCATCTAAAATTTAAAAACAATAACCTTATTACAAGAATTTATTTGAATTCAAACTTTTTTTTTCTAATCTTATTTTACGACACTCGAAGGTTCAAAGCAGTGTCCAAATCGGTACGCGCGCGACCAATAAAATCTCCACTTAAGAATATGTGTCAATGTTCCACTCACCTCGTATTTCTTAATAGGCCTATGTTCCTTCACCGAAGGTATCGTGTAAGTAGCTGGCATTGCACTACTTCGCTTCAGTTGAAGGAGTTTCGAACTTGAAGGTTCTACATCACTAAAGTAAGTGTCCAACACCCAACTCTTCAAATTACTCATAAAACAAAAGAACCATAGACCGAGCACGAAACCATTCCAAATATTTGAATTTGGAAACAGAACGTAGCTAATGAAAATCAGGAATGTTAGGAAGTACATAAAGAAATTGCAAAAGTGATTTGGTTTGGTGTTGGTTTTTGGTGTTTTCATATCATTCTTGCTCGGAGGTGAACCAAAGTTCGCCGGTGTTGGGGGCGGTGGTATCGGGTTTTGGTCCTTCCCACTCGAGACTTGCGGGTCCAAGTTTTGGATATCGCCGAAGCCATCTATATTGTCTTCTAGGGCTTCGATCCCAGATTCTACTTCCATTAGGCTGTCATTTAGAAAATCTCTTCTCAGTTCAGCGGAATCGTTGTACATAGCTGCAAAAATGTTTTTAATCAAACCACTGTCTCTACTAAGAAGTTATAATAAATTCACAAAAGGTCGTTATTGTCATGCTTTTCACAGTGAAGAATAAAATCACAAATCGTAAATTACGTAGATCGTGTTCGAGGTACTTTGAGACTGACTTTTCCTCTCCATAATCTAAAGGTATTCGACAATATCAAAAGGGAGATTGTATAATATTTTTCCTATAACAACTATATAACAGTTTTATACTCATTAGAAATAGGTACCTATATACAATAGTGTGCCTATTTCCTGCCAGGATATCGGAGCACAAGTATACGGAATCAACTGAGCGTAATCGCACTACTCACACTACGTTATCCGAAACTAACAATATACTTAAACAAAAGAAAATCGGTGGGGCACCTATGCTAATAGAGTACTTCTAACAATCAGCTAGTAAATGTAAAGATGCATTACCAAAAATAATTGTCTTCGAATCTAACAAATAACGTACCTAATAACAAGAAATTTAAAGTACTTCTGTATCTTTATTTTAAGGTCCAAAATTCATCAACACCAGTACCTAATCTACAGTTTGTACTTCAAATTTCAAACTACATCTTCGTACATTCCTCCCGTCTGTGTGTACACTAACAACCTAAATACTTAGTAAGTCTAATTTTCACTCACCTAAATTCTTGTGTGTTTCGTCGCTGGAATCCGAGTAATTCTTGCCATCAACAGGAAGACTTGGATCTCGTTCAGCCGCCTTAGCCGTCAGAGGCTGCGTCATTTCTGATAAATTCTGTATACTGCTGTCTAGAGAAGATACCTAAGTACGAAAACGAAACTAGATTTGTATTTTTTTAGGCTTACTTGATTTCCACGATGACGTATTGAATCTTAAGCAGCGGCCATAAGACTTAAATTACAATGAAGTCAACGAGACATCGTAAAATGCAAATTTTATTATGATAGGCAGTTGTATTCAAAGTTCACAAGTCGAGCATACTTGAGCAAGACGAATTAATAAGAGTTAGTGAACTCTATTGAACCCGAGCAATGAGGGGGCAAAGCGAAGCAGACTTCTTAGACAAAAGAGTGCATTCTCTTTATATTGGGATCAAAAGTTACAGGTGACAGCATCACACAAATATACTATACAATGATACATTCAGGTTGCCATAACTAAGCATCACATGGCAAGCCAAACGTCTGCCAAACGGACATAACAGGGAAACCAGCATTTATATTTGTTAGCAGTAGCATTCAAACAGGATAGCCCCTTCGCACACGAAGACGAGAGCAAAACGAAAAAGTATATAATGAACCTATCTAAAAATCCAAATAGTTCCACACAAAGGAGGCATATCATTGTTCATATTAGATGTGTATCTATGTGTAATTTGCATACTGTAGGCACATATGTATATGTGAACTTGTATGTTTGTAAACGCGCCTACGACATAGGAGAAATTCCAAGTGTGTGGTAACGTTTTTTTTAAAGAAGAAGGTATCTTTGTCGTTATAAAGGGTTTTAAATTAAAATCAATTAATGGCAAAATGTCCTGGTTGTATCGATCAAATATCAGATGTTTTCGGTGAGGATTTTCGACTTCCCGAAAGCGTCTTCAGAAATTTCTTAAAGATTGAAGTATAGATACTTTAATGAACCTGTATAACAAATTAACCTACGCCTGAACGATCCAAGCCTTCTAAGCCATTAGAAATTCGGGAAAAATGTAGAGATGCTGGAAATGCTAGCACATACTCCAGAGTCAGAAAAAAACAAATTATAATTCCTGTGCGAGGGGGCTCCAATGCGCTATGCGGTGCGTACTTAGGTAAAACGTTTCATTATATACCTAAACAATACAAATACATTGACAATGCTCGAATGCGGGTAACTTGGTCACTTCAAGTGTAACTTACATGATCTTCAGCGTCAACTGAGGTGGGCTATGGCGGTATCATGAATAAAATACTTTAGAAACTCAGCATGTTCATGTTATGAATGTGAATGCACTTATTAAAGGCCTACAACACACGTTGGGTTTTCCATCGTAGTTCTTTCGCGATAGTAGGTCAAATAATGCTGCGTTTTCTAGAATTTACTTATCTACTTTTGAGACTTGAAAATTGTGCGTAGGGAAAGAGTCTCTAGAAATAAGCAAAGTTCATGTTACTCTTAGATATGTTTTTGAGTTTTTACGGTTCCGACTTGCAATAAAGTCTATTATATGACAATAAGGACGGATTACTTAACATGGTCACCAACATAATTGCACAATATGTATTATGCGCTCAGCAAAGGAATTTGCCCAAAGTGTGTCGTAAGCCCAAATCTTGGTCGGCCAACTGACAACTCCATACTGTAGGAATGATAGGCCCTTTATAATCTAGTTAAGGATGTTGGACCAAGTTGGCCGACCAATATGGGAAGGATGACCAACATACCTGGTTGTCTGTATCTCCGACGCTCTGTTGATCTGAATCTTTGATTGCCGAGTTCTCCTCTGAATCGGAAGTCGAATTTTCTCTTGGAATTGATTTTTCTTTTGTCTCTGTTGTCAAATCATAGAAAAAATAAGTTCACATAGATAACTTTTCGAAACAGTAAACAAAAACGTGAAATTATACTTAATTCAGCAACTACAAAAATTCCAATTATGTTGAAAATCTTGTACGTTTTTAATAGTTAAGAAACCTTAATGGTTTTTGAGTCCCTGCCATTATTAGCAGAATAATACAAGTGTTAACATAAATGTCAGTTAAACTCATAAAAAGAATATCAATTCTTATGATGAAAGATTACAACAATTAATAAATTTATTGCTTGTCAGCGTCTTTAATTACTCAAACGTTTTTTATTGGTTATAAGACACAGATGACTGCAAAATCTTGTGTCAGAAAAAATCTTTGAGATAATTCACAGTTCACACACAATGACCAGTAGATTCGTATCAGTACAGTATAAGATTACAACACATTTAATTTTGTATGTACCTAACCTACTTTATTATTTCTTACTATGAACCTTGCACCAAGTTTGAGTATTATTGACCTTACAAACATACTCTAACCATTTGGTTGAATTAGGAACTTTAAACCAAATATATAAAGATTTAATTCAATTGTAAGCCGAGTCGAACTAAAATCTTATTTAAATAAAAGGTAGGTCTTTTTTGTTTTACAATAAAATATTTATAATGTTGGAATTTTCTGAGAATGAATGTGATTTTTTATAATTAGAATAGATAAGGGATATAAACTGTACTAATAAACATTTTTTGTAAATAAATCAGGTAAAGATAAATATGAAACATAATAACAGACCTTTTTTCACACTCTTACAAGCATAAGATCTATATGAGGACATAATTCAAACAACTTCTCATTATCTATGTCATGTTGTTTTAAATTATCATAATAACACAACACACACAACAATTAGTTGCTATGGGAAGTATAAATTAAAGAACCAGTCTTGGTACATTAGGTACATGTGTCCTTAAACTACTAATGTATTTATAATGGTCATAATCTGAAGGTACTACACTACTATCTTGAATATATTATCTAAGTCACATAAAAATAAGTTCAAACTCATTAGTGACCAAAATAGAAAAGGAAATTAACTCTAAAACTAGTCATCAAGTTATTTAATCTATATAAATTCTACAATTAATGACATGATAAACCTCTCAAACAAATGATTTTTTTGGTACCATCAATTTGGTAACACAATTAACAATGGTGTGAAACAGCTGGTCCGAAACTCAGAACACAGTAATCAGTTTGTTATTTAAATAATCATTATGAAATATTTACTAGTTCCCGAGTTCTTCACATTTAGATTATGAAACAAAGGAAATAACAATGTACTCACCTTCTACTGACCGAGTCTTCATATCTTCAACAGCTTGAGCTATTTTAAACTTGAAGTCATGGAATATCTTCCATGTTTCATTGCTGCCTTCCTTAACATCAGGAGTCACTTCTGGAGTACTCCGCTTGCCTAGGCGGTTCAAGTACTCCTTCATGGGAGATGATGTGACTTCCTTAGGTACAGGAGCTTCCTTAACCTTAGCTTCTTCTTGTTTACTTTCCACAGGCTTAACATCTTCAGGCTTTTCTATTATCTTCTCAGACCGAATTGATTTAAAATATTTATCTATAATTGATGATGACCTCTCCCCTCTCTTAGGACTTGCATTTTCAACCGGTGTGCTCACAGGAGGGTCACACTGTGGAGTAGGAGGGTCATCCTCACACACATGGTACAACTCCTCCAACTCCTCATTGTTGGCATTGTACCTAAATGATAGTGAGGCATTTGGTGATTTACCTGAAAACAAAAACACTGTTACACGACATGCGCTTTAAGCAGTAACACTTTTAATAAATTTATATTCACCCATTATTTATATAGGGCATCTACATAAAGATATTTAACACGCACTAAAAATAAAACACAAAGACAAGAACGCAGAAAGCTGAGTGCTACATTGAAACACGATTGGAGCGTTAAAGTGGCGATCAATTTGTGGCTGATCGCTTGTGTTATCGTCTTTGTTGTCAGAGGAACAACATCCAATACCGAAACTTGCACACTAATCTATACTGATAAACAACCGGCCCTCACAGATACTGACGTAAACTGTTTATTTAAGTAAACAAGTTTCCTATTCTGCGAATTTTCCATATGTGAAAATTATTGGATTAAAGCTGTTGGCAAATTAATTCGACACATACCCACTCCAGAAATCTCCATTTTTTTAAATTCAGGATATTATTTTTTTATATAGAACCATAGTTTTATTCATATTAGTCAGAATCAACTCCTATTATAAATTATTTATACTAGCTTCAGAGTCTTTCCCTTTAATTTTAATAAAAGTTGCTCTACTCGCTGATCAAAAATAAGATTTTCTTGTCAGTCATAGAATGTCAACTTGTCATATTGAAATGTCATTCTTATATTGAGCTGTAAACAATATCGATTTAAGAACTTAGTCGATTAATCGGAGTGAGATTTGAAAGAATCATAGAGTAGTAAAGTTTTCATATCACTGACCTCTATAATAACGTTTATTATAGAGGTCAGTGTTTCATATTTATTGCTTTTTTATGGACTTATAGTAAATGTTAATTCTTTGTTTTTGTTTGTTTTCTTTTTTTTTAAACTTTGCTCCACAAAAGGATTTTCTTCTGTGTCGTGGGTGCGGTTATAAACATACAATTTCACATGCACATGACACCCAGACCCAAAGCAACAATTTGTAGGTCACACAAAGAGTTGTTCCGTGCGGGAATCGAACCCGCGACACGTTGCACGTCAGCCAGTTACCCAGCCACCGCACCAACCGTGCAGTCTACAGTAATTAGAATGACAGATAATTAGGTTACAAGTAAATATATCTGAAACAGTTGATTCATCACCGACATAATAATATTGCTTCAATTTACAATAATGTACATAAAAACTCAACGATGAAAAGCTATTTCAGGTATTTTCGAAATCTGTCACTGTCACAGAAAAACTTACTAAAAATTAAACCAATCGACTAAATTCAACTCTAAAATGATTCAGTATAATCTGTTGCATCAGTCGACCTCCTGTCAAAAACAACATTCGCGAGGGTTCTTTTGTAGTGTTTTGGTTTTTGCGTTATATTTCCTCAGAAATAATGGAAACTGGACATGTGATTAAATACAAAGTGAATTAAATTAAGTGATAAACATGAAGTACTTATTTGTGATATTATTTTTGTTTGGTTCCTACGGTGTAGGTTCTCTTGTTGATAGTAGTGGAAAGGTGAGATTGCACCGATTGCGCCGCATTTGTGAAATGTATGAATACAAGGTTGCATTTGTGTATTGAGCGGTTATTATTATTGTTGTAGGAGAGTACGGAGTTGTCTCGTGCTTTCGATGACCGGCCTTTGTTGTTTGCCACGTTAGGGGGCGGCATGGTTGCAGTTGAGCCTCTGGCGGGCAATATTATATGGAAACTTAAAGATGGTAAACATATAATTCCTCTAATACATCACTTTTAATAGTTTGTAAGAGAATCCATTGATTTTAAGCCAATGAAACATGGGTGTTTTTATTTTAAGCACCTGTAGACTGTATGTTTATTTATCAGTAGAGTACTTTACTAAGTGACTGTAGTTCTTTTGTTTATTATTATTTGATACAGTTTGCTCAAGTTATCCCAAACTATGTAGATACCTAAAAGAATTCATGTTGTTTACTAAAACCTTAAAACATGACTCATATTGTCATCAAATCATATTTTAAAATATCACATAAATTTCTTATTTCTTAAGCAATCATCAGTTAACTAGTGCTACACTAACTCGTAGACACTATAAGTACAAAATAAGATACTAAAATTAATATAAATAAAAAAAGATATTTTATTAAAAATAAAATACACATAAGTTTATTATTTAAAATGCATTAGTTAATGGGTTAAATCATAACACATTATTAATCAAAAGATAAGAAATAAATAAGTATCATATCATGGTATTATCCTTGTTTAGTTCCATGCCTCCAAAATTTTACATTAAACACACAGATAAAAGGATTTAGATAAATATTTGGTAATTCAAAAGTTTGTTTATCACATTACTTGAGTTCTGTTCTGGAAAGAAGTGGAATGGTTTACTTATATTTAACATGAATGTAGGTTTAAACAAGACTGATTTTCTTTATTAGGCACAGTGTCAGTTAAAATATTATGTATCTAATTAAGCATAGGCATTTCTAGTATTTAAACTAAAAAGAGAAAAAAAAATGTGTAACCTTATTATTAGATCTTTGATACTTTCATCAAAATAATGTATTTTTCACTCCTGTCATGATGTTGACTCTTTTTATGTTAGCTAAAATTCCACATTTCAAAAAAAGAAACAGTTCAAACTAACATAGTATAACAGTCTATATATTTGAATCAGAAAGAGAGACATTTTGAGCACACAGATATTCTTATTAAAAAAATATATATATATGGAAATGTGTTTTAAAACAAAATTGTAACCCAAATAGATACTCAATTTATATAGTTATACTTATTTTTAAGTTACAGTGTGTGTTATCATAATTGATATTATCATTCTTGAGTTGATATCAGTGTTTATTGGGTGTCCAATGCAATACATATATGGGTAATTTTTTAATATACTTTGTTGCCACTTGATAACGGCTTCCTCAATCAGTGATATTATTTGTTTTCATAACTATTAATCAAATTAATCTTGATACTATAAAAAAGATATACATAGTAATTAAGATTTCATTTATTACTATAAAATGGCGATATGTTTAGTTATAATATGAATACATTTTCTGTAAGAAAGTATAAAATATATATTCCATTCCATTCCAGAGTATGTACATATATTTCTAAGTTTATGTTATTAATAAAAAAAGTTTTCTAACAGAACATGATTAAAATTTTTGTCAATACAATTAGTGACATAGTTTTACAGGACTTTTCAATCATGAAATATTGAATTATGTAACTAATTAAACATATGTTCAATTGAAAAGTGATAAGTATGTAATATTTAATATTCATATCTACATGTGATACATTATTCATTACTATTATAACTATCACTATGCAGACTTATTTAAAATGTGGTGTGTGTCTGGCACACACAACTTGTTCATTAAAGTCAATTAAAAAGTTCCAATGCATTATTAGGTCACAGATAAAAAATACTATCTTTTAGTATTTACCACACTTCAAAGATAAAAAGTATTTCTATCTAAAAAATTATTTCTTTATCACCTTTTAAGCATACTTTGTTGCTAATCATAATTGGTTGAATGGAACAAATAGAAGCATCCAGATTATGTAAATCTGTAAAATAATATTTTTAATAATAATTAATTGGTCAGGTGTAATCAGTGGAGTAATTTAGTACACAGATAGGTGTACTATCTTTTATATTTATTCAACAACAGCCTGTACATAGTTGCAGATATTAAACAGACTTTATACACATTTTTGCATAGTCTTCAGATGATCTTTTATTCAAATATCAACATTAATAATAGAGACATTGAATCTTAAATCAAATTCGGTAAGAATAAAAAATCATAATACATGGTTGAGCATTACAATTTTCATCTTTATATGAATGGGAATGAAGTTCAAACTGCTTTGGCAATTGATTGTTTACCCATCTTTCTCAGGAGTAATAATAAGCTACAATTCTTAGGTTTGAATTTCAGATTAGTTCTAGACTAAGTCCTGTGTTATTATGTAAATTGGATGTGACATTTGAAATATCACATAGAAATACTCTTTGCATCATTTACATAGATATCTAGTAATCTAACTGTTTATCTATTGTATTGTTGCATTCAAATTATTTTGCAGTAGGTATCTATTATTTTGAAGAACATGAAAGGTGATTTAAAAATAAACTAGTTCATTTTTCATAGGCATATCTGTGAAGGATTTTGTTATATACTTACATAGGTATAAAATACTACTTTTTCATTCACAATCATTGAAAAATGTTTTTCTTTTTTTTTCGGCCGGTTTATTTATTAATCAGTATTGTACACTGGGCAAAAGTCCAAACTGTATTCTTAAAATCTCAGTCCTCTCGTCCTGGCGGTTGAACCCAAGAACATCAAAATAAACATGATATTGAATAATGCTCTTTTCCCATTATAAATGTTAGCTTTTGTAGATATGGACATTTGTTGTTCAGTCACGCAATAAGAGCGATTCAGATATACCTAAGTGTAAGGAATGTGAACATTTTACGTCCAAATGCCAGAAAGTCAACTTAGCAAAATTCGATTCCGCAAAAAATCTACATAAATTTCTTCTTTTCTAGAACCCGTCGTAAAAGTACCGAACCAGCAAGCTGATCTGATGCCCCAATTTCTCCCGGATCCTCGACACGGGTTCCTATACATGTATGGTCCTCGAGGAGACCAGCAAATGCTGAAGAAGCTACCATTTACGATACCCGAGTTAGTAGCGAATGCCCCATGTCGGTCGACTGATGGTATCCTGTACACTGGCAAGAAGAGTGACACTTGGTTCATGCTGGACCCACTAACTGGGTTTAGGGAACATGTTTCAGGTATGTATTATCTTCGTTTATTACCTGAAGGGCTTTTTATACCCCTTGTTTGCTGATATATGAGATACAATAGAAACCACATTGTGTACTACGTATATCATTCTGCGGCATATCACGGGTTAAAGCACGTTGTTAGATATTATGTATCCATTTTTTGCCTTTTATATTATAAGTTGATCGATCATGATATCGAACGCGAATTGTCGAAAAACTCTATAATACTGTTGATTGTGTAGTTTTCTAGGTGAAAATAAATTAATTCGACGTTTCAATACAATATTTTTTTTTGAAAAATAACTATATTTTTATTCATCGATCGATCGATACGCTGAATTTTAGAATTTTTTTAAACCAAATTTTTAGAAATATGTAAGCTAATTGACGCAAAAAAACTATGACGTCATAACTCAGTTTTTCATACAAATTTCATAGAAAAGTATCGTTTTTGACATTCGGATAAAAGTATTGAATTTGACTAGTCGAAAACTACTAGCTACCGTATTGTTATAATATTTTACTCTTGTTCGGCACTCACGCTTTCTTGAGAACAACCGTCGAATAAAGGAGTTCATTTCTAAAACATTATGTGTTTTCCATAGTTAATTAATTATTGCGTTACGTACAGACAAACTTTCCAGGTTTATCTAAGTAGACTAAGATCTGGGCAATCCCAATACTAATATGATAATTATTGATAAATTTTAATGTAGTTATGTTACGAATCATGATAAGTATTAAGTGTAGGTATTTTTTTAAAGAACATACTGATGTCAACCCTGTCTGACCGAATTCATCTATTTACTGCAGAAGGAACAGCAATTATTTTTTCAATATCATTACTAATATGATTAAGTGAGATTTCTTGAAAACCTATATTATACCTGGAAATTATTCTGGTCGGATATAATCAGAAGTTGTTTTAGACTGCAAAGGAATCTACTTATGTAAGGTAGTGGTGGAATAACCTAAAAACACTGACCCATTAATACACTATTTAACATTTCATAAATGTAAAGTATGTGTACTCGTTTGTGCTCAATTAAGGCTTGTATCCCACTAGGGGTTGTTCTCAGAGTGTTCTAGCTTTGTTATGAAACATATAAATACTCTTTATAAAGATAAAAGGGCTTTCCCTTGCTTTGAAGGCATGTCTATAACTCGGCGTCTGTAATTTGTTTTGTAAGCCAACTGCTACTGAACAGAAAATGATGTTTCGTCCTAATTTTCCCTAAAATTTTCTTTTATAAAAGCCTCCTCTTGATTTTGTTAATGGAAATTAATGTAAATTAATGTGATCAAGGGAAATTGAGATTAATTTATATAATACAAAGATTGTAAACGACTTTACGACACAAGAGAAGAGTCCTAGTGTGGGGCAATGTTACGATAGTACAGCCAAACCTATCTCAATCTGCCCCGAAAGATTTTGAAGAGCAGTCATGAAGGTGTCGCGGCCCCGGCCTGGAACAATCGGAGGTCAACTTTTCCGACTTAAAGAAAAAGAAATACTGACTGTATTTATCAACAGCTTTTCGTCTTTAAAAGACAGTACAGTATAATTTGTACGAAGTAAATAATTAAAATATCGTGACTTAGATTGGAATTTGATATCAATATCCCATATTTACCTATTCATAGAGATATGCATTAGTTATAAAACAAATATAAATGTGACAGCGTGTCCTTGGGTTCGCTACAAAAAAAAAACTATGAATGCGACAGTCGTATGGATTGGAACAGCATAATTACGAAGGCTTATCGATGTACGGTAATTACCGCTGCGCTGGTAACGGACAGATGGTTTGCATATGACGTAGCTATGTCAGACCCATTGATTTATACACACAGATAAATATAAATATTGTAATTCTATACCCACATGGAGAATCGGAAACTGATATGGAACAACTAACGACAAAACTGATTTGATTATTAAAATTTATATAAATCTAGCGACCCGCCCCTGCTTCGCAAGGATATCCAACCGTTTTCAGGATAACTTTTTCCCGATTAAACAGTCTACTTTAAAAAAATCCTTCATAAGAAACTTTTCCTGGCAGTAACAAACACAACATAGACAATGGCAAACTTGGTTATGCGCTTATCAACACATTTTTGTAATTAATTTAGATCTCAAATTTAAATCGAGAACGCTTTTAATAGTCATATATATGTATATGTTACGTTCTGTATTATCAGCCTGTTTCCATTAACTGCTGGACATAGGCCTTTCCAATTGGGTAGTTTTTCGTAGGTAAAAAATAAATTATTTCGACGTTTCAATACAATAAAATATTGAAAAATAACTATACTTTTATTCATCGATCGATCGATATACTAATTTTTAGATTTTTTTAGCTAATTATTAAGAAATAAGTAAGCTATTTGACGCAAAAAAGTTATGACGTCATAGCTCAGTTTTACATACAAATTTCATAGAAAATTATCGTTTTTGACGTTTGGATAAAAGTATTGAATTTGACTAGTTGGAAACTACCGTATTGCAGCCACTGACCCTGATATAGGACCTACATATTATTTGATTTAGCGACCCGCCCCAGCTTCGCACGGGTACAATGCTTATACTAAATTTCTCCACTATTCAACTTTTCAATCGTGGTAATTCGAGACACAATAGTAAGACGATAGGTACGCGATCGCTGGTGTTCGCTTGGGGATTGATTAATTAATGGATTTTTATTATACATATAAACCTTCCTCTTCAATCACCCTATCTATAAAAAAACAGCATCAAAATCAGTTGCGTAGTTTTAAAGATTCAAGCATACATAGGGATATAGGGACAGAGAAAGCGACTTTGTTTTATACCATGTATAGTGATAAGCCAACTTTTTTTATGTTTCTAAATTTAAATCAGCTATTTCGTCTCGTCTGTACAAAGTAGGTACCGGTACATTAGGTATGGAATCAGGTCGTACTTTCGCTAAAATTAAACGTCAGGCAGGAAAAAGCTTTTCCGTTCACATTATGTACAGCCATTGATCTGGAAAATCTTTGTTTCCGAACTTAATCAACTGTTAAATAGTATTGACATTTAATGGATATTATCGGTCTTGTATAAAATAATACACTCAAGACACATATTGTGACTTATTAATTGCGCCATAGTCAAGTTATTTGAACTTGTTTTTTTTTTAGGGGGGAATATCGTCAAATTTCTTTTCGCGCCCTGGCTGGGGCGAGAGAGAGTGCCAGACTCTTATTAACCTTTGAATTCGAAACATAATACTAACACAATTAATGATCAACCCTTCTGTGTGAGAGGACTCCTTTGCTCAGCAGTGAGGACTTCTAGGCTGATGATGATGTGATACATACATATATAGATAAACATATGACCTATAAGTTTTAGGTAAACTGTTGTTATGTCGGTCTAAATTAATATGTTGTATGATGTCATTAGGGAAAATGTGTCTGGTTTTCATGTATGTATGTACCTTACGTAACTTTGATGACTTTTACCTGTAAATTCGATATAGGCGAGGTATATAGGCGGCATATAAGGTGTAATGTTGCAATTAACTGTAATTTATTTTAATTTTAAAATTTTACAACATTATAGGTATAGTATAACGTGATTATTTTTAAACAAGCTCTGAGCATCTATATGATTTCTCGTATTTAGTGAATTATGTATCCTTAGTAACTTATTTTTGTTTTTATAGAATCCTTTTTGTGTTTGTTAGTCAATTTATTAGATGAGGCTATAGACTATAAATCATCACGCTACGATCTGTAAGAGCAGAGCAGCGGGTGAAACCGCGAGAATAGCTAGTAATTTATTATGCTATCAGTGTGTAGCTGATGCCCTAATTATTATGTATTCAGAAAAAAACCTCACTTCAGTAACTAATCGTCGTTAACAGCTTCGATTTACAAATCTATAGAACCATAATCACTAATAATTCGACGAAGTACATTCGTAATCTGATTACAAACGACTGTAACATACCTAGCGAACTAAGAAACGTTTGTTGTATCAAACGAAGAAAAGTTTACATTTCTCCGTCGTTCACAGGTTTCGACAAATCGAAGATTTTCAAGAACTCCGACGACAACACTTGTTCTCCGGACAAAAAGAGAGGAATCTACGTTGCGAGAACTGAGTACAATATACTCATGCACGATTCTAAGAATCAGAACCATAAGTGGAATGTCACATTCTTCGATTACACGTCCTTGGCTATGGGGAAGGAGATGCTGAATGATTATGGTGAGATAATGTCTCTTTATTTTTTGTCAGATTGTTTTATTGTAGTTCGTTTTTCATGTACCTAATAACGTTTTCTGTATTGATATCTTAATTGACAAATCAACTAACTCCTTTTGAACAAATTTAGAGACACTTAAACAACTTACAATGTTTGTAGACTACTTATAAAGAAATCTAAAATACTGGTGGTAGATATTAATCTGAATTCTTATTTAATTTTAATACTGTCAGTTTATTTATAAATTTATTATCGTTATTCGATCGTCATATTTTGACGAAATGTGTAGTTGACTGATTTGCCAATTATGGGATTGATATACTTTGGAACTATGCTGCTGTGATAATACGTTTTTAATGTATTGTGATTTGACTGCCTAGCTTTCCAACGCATTTTCATTCATTTTTTAACCGACTTCAAAAAAGGGGGAGGCTCTCAATTCGACGCGTATTTTTTTATATGAACAGTGACATTGATACTGATTTCAGCCAGTCAGATAGTCTCTTACGGGGTCGTCGGTAGGTCGATGTACATGGGCAATTCATCACTTATATGTAAATGTATATAGATAGAGAGCTCTTCGTTCAGCGTAGGGGTCGGTCGGTACATCTGACAGTCTGACATTACCTCCTAGGGCGGGAGGAGTCGGTTGATGAATTTCCACTTAACTACTAACATATCAGTTTCAAAGCCCTTAGTAATTACAATACATATAATCTGAGCGTAATGTCACACATCACCACCTAACCCCACCCTTTCCAAAAAACATTCATTAATTACAATAAATAATAAACCTTATTTTCTATACAGGTATAATCCACTTTACATCAACGTCAAACGGTCGTGTGATGTCCTTTGATCGTAAGACAGGTGACCTTGTCTGGTCACACAATTTCGAGACGCCAGTCGTTGCCGCCTATCTGCTAGACAGAGACGGCCTTATCTCCGTCCCTTTCAATTCTATTGGGGATGATACTCTGGATCATATCATGGAAGATGCCACTACATTGAGCAACGGGCAAGGGATTAAGAACTCTAATATTGAACTGTAGTAAGTATCTTTTTGATTGAGCTTTTGTTTGTCGTTGTGCTAAGAATGTTATATAATATTTTGTTTTTTTTCTCTCATTGTCACTATTTATCTCTTTTGAATGTTATATACTTAGGTATTATGTTTAATGCAAAAACGCCAACAAAACGTGAGCTTAAAGTCTAGGTCAGTGGGTCATCTTAGGGGCGGGTCTAAGTTAATGATAAAAACATTTTGCCCAACCAAACTATACACTAGTACCTACTTTCGCCAAAAAGATAAAATAGAATAATAGTCCTTCATTGTCTTCGTCAGTGTATTAACATTTGATAATAAGCATGCCGCGCGGATTCATCATTCACATGTTAAAAATTCAATCAAAATATAAATCGGTAACTTGTAATTACATCTCGATCTTGTTTAATTAGTTTTTATAAGAATAACAAGTAGACTGGGCTTATACCTATTGTCATAGCAGTTGCTTAACCTTTATTACATGGAAATTGTCGCATATTTGACGAAAAGGTGTGGTAGATTTAATTAAATCAGATTTACTAGGCATAAGCCAAACTTAGTTTAGGCCGACCTCCAGCTAGATGGAGTGACGGTATCCACAAGGTGTCTTGCAATGGTTAGGTGCGTAGAACTGATGACCTAGGTCAGTAGCCTATTATTCTGTAGTAGCCTCTTCAGGTCTATGTCCTGCGGTGGATGGAAAAGGTTTTTTAATGGGACATACCCGCCGCGACCTCTCACAAACCGCTGCAACTCCTGTAAGCCAGAATCTAAAGTAGATACAACCATGAAAACACTGGTACACTGAAGTCCGGCGCGTCCCAAAGACATGAATGACTGTCTTGGATTCCGCAAAGAAATAAATCAGAAGATATTATTTGAGGAGTAAAAGAAGTAAATAGTATCCCGTGCGGAACAACTCCTTGCATGATTCACAAATTGTCAAATTCTATAATAATATTTGTAAACAGGAGGATAGGAAACAGGATATCTTTTCTTTTTCTTTTCCCTTAAATAAAAAACGTTGCCCCGCGCTAGGATTTTCTCCTGTGTTGTGGGTGCGTTTACAAACATACAATTCCACATACACATCACACCCAGACTCGGAACAACAATTTCTGGATATATTACAAGTGTATATTTTTCAAAAAAAAATATTAATTAAAACTATGCCAGTATTATGGAAACGTCTAGTAATTGCGATGTGAAAGAAGTGTTAGGTAGTCAAGATTTCCTACGTCAATCAATGACGTAGAAAAACTGCGTAGTAATAAGAAATAACGCCATACATTCAAAGCAAGCCTGAAAATGAACTCATTTTGTAAATTGTATGCTAGCTGAAAGCCTTTTGATTGCATTATCACAGTGTTAAGATTACTACAGCAGTATTTTATGAAAACTGCCAGACAAATATCGACCTTAATCCTAAGAATAGCTTCAGCTTACCGTTTTCCATATTTTCTTTTTATTTTTAGTCATAATCAAAGTAAAAATCAAAGTCAAATAATTTATTTAAATTATAGAAAGAAAGAAAAAAAGAACACACGGAATTAAAAACTTACTTCCTCCAAATGTCTGTAACAGGTCGGTTTTTCTATACTTACTAATGTTATAAAGAAGTAAAATTTGTAAGTTTGTATGTAGGGGGTAATCTTTGGAACCGCTGGTCGGATTGCCAAAATTCTTTCACTGATAGATAGCTACAATGTGCCTGAGTGTTATAGGCCATAAAAGGCGCTACGATCAAATGGAGCCGAGCAGCGGGTGAAACCGCGAGAGAGTAGCTAGTATGAGATAAAGCCAAAGCCGTCCTTTGTACTTTTTATTTTTTAACATTAAAATTATGTATATATATTGCGTTGTATTGTAAATATCATGAAACGTTTTAATGAAACATTTAATTTTACACGCACCTTTGGTTATGTTTCCGCATTTACATAATGATCCGTTTTATTGGTGTTATTTTAGAATATCTTTATTTTACTGGAATAAATCAAAGTACATATTAATAAAGTAATAAACAATATTCCCTTCGATATAAAGTATTAATATGACGTTTGAACTTTTAGGCGCAGTGGACGCTATTACATTCTGTAGATATTGCAATACGATAGACTCCGTGCTGAGAAATACTTGAAGACTTTTTCGAAAGTTTCCAAAGCGAATCTTCTATAGACAAAGTAATATTTTTGCATAATTTTACAAAATGTATCATTTCTTTTGCAGCCCCACATTGTACGTCGGTGAACACAACCATGGCCTCTACGCGTTATCATCGCTCGTAGACAAAAATACTATCACAATATCGACCGGCCACGCACAGCCCTTGCTACTAGAAGGCCCAACAGAAACGGAGCAAAAATCTGAAACCTACCAATACGAGCCGTTCAAAAACGTTCACTACAAATTAAAAGATTTGAACTTACACGTCTCAGCCCCATATCTCCTACTAGGACATTACAAGGTCCCCGAACTAACGACAACATGGATGCCTCAGTTACCAAATTCAAATTTCTTGAACGTACACAACTCACAGAATAGTGCCATCAAATTAATCAATGGCCAAGTCCATTCTGAAACGGATAATGATGTTGAGAATGAGACAAATTTAAAGTCGAATCCCAATCCGAATTCCATATCTGTGTCGGTACAAACTGAGGAGTTGTTTGAAAGACTTGAGTTCAGACCGGACCTATGGTACAAGAGAACATATTTGTGGTTCCACCAGCAAGAAAACCAAGTTCTCAAAGTTGCTCTTATAATTTTAGTTGGATTAGTAATTACCATGTTCTGGTATCTTCGATATCAGGTAAGTCATTTATTTATTTTACTCTTTTGGCTTTTCAGATTAGAATATCTTTACCTCAGTTCTTAAAATCATGACTGTATTTTAACCAAATTTAAATTATTTTTGGTTTATACTATGTGTTATAACCAGTGATCGGAGTTGGTAGATTGATTTTAGGTAATTGTATCATAAATGCACACAGAAAGAATAACATGGATAAGCCATTTTCCCGGAAATTAATTCCGGTATTTCCGGTATTTAAAGAATAATATTGCTCATTTTATTACAATTCCTATATTTTTTTTTGAGGGTGGCAAATCATCAAATGGCTCCTTCCACTCTGGCAGAATAAAATTCCTACATAAGTTCCGGTTTTTTTAATAATCCACCAATTCCGGAGGAATGTCCATATTAATATATACGTTTCGGATCAATGGCCCCATTACAATCTACCTTCTCCGATCACTGGTAACATAGAATTAATATAATATATTTTGCTTTTGTGTGGGAGTCATCAAATGTTTTCTCTCGCCCAGGGTTAGGCCAGCGGGAGTATCAGACTCCTACTGACTAAAAACCACTCCGTTCATTCTCCTGCTCCAGGCCGAGGGCGCGGTGCCTTACTGCTCCTGGCCCACAGCCCCGGCTATCTATCTTTCTCTGATTTACCTATAAGGCATGATAAACTATTAGTGATTAGACTTCAATCTTAAATTTTTACTAACTGTTTTACATAATATTCTGTGAAACATACAACGCGTCCATATTAGCGCAATGTTTGGGCATTCATGGCCTACATTTTTATTTCAAATGCGCGATTTATAAAGTTTTAAATAAAATCACGATGCACTTGGTTTGCCCATATTACAGTTTCATTATGCACGGTTGCCAGGGTAAAATATGATTAAGTATCTGAAATAAAAAATGCGTTATCGCCACGCGGCCGTCTTGTTGGTGCCAACACGCCCGTACAAACGTGATTAGTATTTTTGTACTGCATTTATACCTTATCTTTTGGCCGGCCGGCTCGCGATTGGAAATGAATGACATTGAAATTTACGTGACGTTTCTTTTAGAGAAATAATTCGTATTATGAGCTGTGTTTAATCATATTAAGAATGCTATTATTATTTTCAATAACGGTACTAAATGATCAAAGTTAGTTATGTGTTTTTTTATTAATTTTCTGCTAGATTTATTATTTGTCCCAGAAACGCTTAACGTACAAAATTTTATCAAAATCTTCGTAGAGGTTTTCGAGATCGTGTGAATATAATATAGAATTTGGCTCATTTAAAGATAAGTATATTAAGATGTAATCAACGACTACACACAGTATCGCTTATTATTATGATTAGTACGACAGTTTCTGGAATGTTCCTTCCAAAAAAAAAAATTTAAGCCAATATAAAAATCCTTACTACAAATTGTGTTCAAATATATAGTTTTAGATTCTTTGTATATTCAACTGGCCATTAAATTAGACAATATGTTTAAACAGGTGCGAATTATTAATGTCTTTAATTGAAATATTGGTACAGTCAGTGTCAAATATATAGAATCATTAACAGAACTCAAAAGTAAAGAAGAATACAAAAAAAAAATTAACGTCATCAAAGCGTCGTAAATATCGCTAAGCACTGACAGACTATTATTCTATTTTAAAGTTTAAAAAGTACCTACTTATGGTTTAGTTGGGATAAATGATTTTGACTTTGACTTTGTACAGTGAAATGATCAATGGTATCCTATGCTATGGTATCCAATCTACATATGTATATGGGTATATGGTAACTTTTTTGAAACGATAGTTTGCTTTTTTTATTGCTTCTATATAATTGAGTACCCTGTATACCCCTACATATTTGAACGTACAAAGGGTAAAAAATTATGAAATAATATTGCTTACTTCATGACAACACTTTACATACTTAGTACCTATTACAGTTGTTTATATAATAAACTTTTATGTATTGGAGTTCAAGGTTACCTTTTGGGTGCTAAATATAAAATGTTCGAATTAATTACGTAAACAGTTCTAGATAAAAATTATCGAGAAGTGTCGATATACTTACATATTCGACATACTACTTATCCGTAAAATTATTTTATCATTACTTTCGTTGAGTTTAGGTCTATTAATTATAAGTCTATTAATTATAAGTAATGTGAAATTTTAATTGTAGCGTAATTAACAAAAAAATATTCTAAAGGGTTATAATCGTGGTTAAGGCACTCTCGAGATCTGGATTTTTTACAAGAATATCTCCAAAGAAGTCACCTTATAAAAAATCATCTTTTGTTAATCCAACTGGCATTATCACTTACATCGCTTTAGTTATTATCGTTCGTTATCCTTCTTCTTTTGTTTTATTCAATAAGGTACATCAACAATATACATAAAATACATTTTCTTAATTTTATGACTGAGACAGAGTTCTTATATGTATATCTTTAACAGATGTACACATCACTTACCGTATGTAAACATAAACATTAAACTAAGGAAAATTACGAATTCTTTCACCCGTCTTCTAATCAATATATTTTAATGGCAATTAATGATTGCTTAAACTATTTCTTTGTAACGATTTGGTCCTGCGCTCTAAATAACAATACTTAGGACTTGTTTAATTCACTTTTTTAAATTCACTCTAAGTAAGGTAGTAGTTTAATAAGAAATAGATCAATATGTCGCACTTAGCTGTAGCTCTTCCACCAATATGGATTCTGATTTTCTTCTAAAATGCATATTATCCTTGGATTATGTAAACTGAGACAATTATGGTTTCTGCTTATTAAACTGCGGAGTAGCATAAAGGTCTATATTATTGCAGCTTATCGGTATCGGCTAGCATAACGATTATTACGTCTTAAGGTTAAATATGATGATAATAGAAACTTTAGGAGAAATTTTGCGTTTGTATTGCAATTATAGTATCCATCTCTTTTTTTTGTTGATTATGTTAGCAGTAGGTTGGTAAGTCAGTTGTTGTTTGATAAATATTTCGTTTGTAGCGTATTAAATATCAGTTGAAAGCTATGCAATACAAATTGGTAATCTAAGATAGAACACATAGATAGTATAGCTATTTGGTTTATAAGTGTAAATTTATAACCGATGGTTATTGTAATAATGTAATTAGTCAGTCAGTCTGATACCCCCTTTCACCACACCCAGGATGAGGGAAGACATAATATTATGATAAATGAAAATATGAGGTGTATGAGGGTGATCACTGTTAGGTGAAATTAGGTTACTCAATTTTTATATCGACGTGACGTTTGGCTCTGGATAAGGGGCTTTAGATGCCACTCTTCGGCCGGTGTTGCGGGAGCAGCGGCCCGGTTCAGAAAAGGAGAAGGAATGATATAGTTTTTAGTCAGTAAGAGTGACACTGCCTTGAACAGGCAAAACATTGGATGAATTATACCCCATCAAATTAAAGACAACACTGCTTGCTACCTTCAAGGAGACATTCACATATTTTTTGTAAAAAGTCGCTCTCAGATAAAAAAATAGGAAAATAGCGTGGATAAAGAAGACAACACGTTCATAAACTACTAAATTCTTTACTTTTTTCAGGCACGTGAATTTCAGCAGCTTTCTCAAGGCGGTTCTCGAACGTCTAACGCGTCTACATCGTCCAACGGCGAGGTGACCGGCCAACTGGTTGAGATAGGCGGCGGTGAAGTACGCATCGGAAGGATCACGTTCAATACTGATCAGGTTCTTGGCAAGGGCTGCGAGGGAACATTTGTTTATAAGTAAGTCTTTAGTTTTTTTATCCAAAGTAATGATCATCTTTTATACTTATGCATTGTAATGAAAGAAATATTAGCTGAATATCGATTGACTACAAAATACTATTGGTATGTATGTATTAGTAGAATCAGAAAAATCTTGATTTAACGCTCTGTTATTTATGATTACACTAGCTACTCTCACGTAGTTTTACCCGCTGCTCAGCTCCTACAAATCATAGCGTGATGTTTTATAGCGATAAATGGACTAACAGACAATAAAATAATTGTTCACTTCGAACCAGTAGTTCCGGAGATTAGCGTGTTCAAACAAACAAATAAGCTCTTAAGCTTAATAATATTAGTATAGATATGACATGTATGGGTCGGATTTCTCTTTTCGCTTATAGTGATTGGTGTTTTACAATACATAATATGACACGCGTGTTTCCCAGAAGGTGTGAGAATCGTGTCATTCGACCTTCCGCTCTCTTTTTCACTTTTAATTTCACTCTATCTTTTCCTACCTCAAGATAGGCTTGACAATATGTATGTTTAATCTAATAAAGAAAAACATTCAGAGAATATATAAGCTTTTTAATTTTTATGTCATGGAATGGCAAAACGAGCATAAGCAACACCTGGTGGTAAGCAAACAAGCAGCCCATGGAAACCCGCAAGTACGTTGCACGTCTTTGCGATGTTAGGTTAGGATTTAATCTATACTGATATTATAATGAGGTAAAAGTTGTAAGTTTGTATGTAGGGGGTAATATTTGGAACCATTGGTCGGATTCCCCCAATTCTTTCACTTATTGATAGCTACAATATTCCCGAGTGCTATAGGCTATAAAACATCACGCTAAAATCAAATGGAGCCGAGCAGCGAGTGAAACCGCGCGGGAGTAGCTAGTTTCATATAATTTCTGTCGCGTGTGTATAGTTTCTGTCGAAGTTTGGCTCTTCCACACTTATTACATAATCCCACAATTTTATTTAAAGTAGCCCTTAATCAAATTTCCTTTAAAAATCCCTTTTTGATTTATTTTTCAGAGGAACATTTGACAAGCGTGCAGTAGCAGTAAAACGTCTATTACCAGAATGCTTTACGTTTGCCGACCGCGAGGTGGCGCTACTGCGCGAATCCGATGCTCATGCGCACGTCGTACGTTACTACTGCACTGAAAGGGATAAGCAATTCCGGTACGTATTGCATTTAGAGTACGGTTGATAATTGCATGCAGTTGCTAAGCAATAATTAAATAATATCTAATGTCTATTAATGTACCTAAAACATTATCAATGTAAATGTAAATGTACCCAAATCATTTAGAAAATCATTAAATTTAAATTATGAATGAAACAACATTCCTTTTCTGTTCATCTCGTTTTACGGTAACAAAGATCTGTATTTAAAACTTTTTTTTCAGGTACATCGCTCTAGAGTTGTGCTCGGCTACATTACAAGACTACGTGGAAAAGAAACTGAACTTTGAGTGCACCATCGATGCTGTGGAAGTGTTGAGGCAGGCGACTCTAGGACTCTCTCACCTACATTCTATGGATATCGGTAAGCAGAAATTTGGGTCTTAAATTTTATGAAAATTGTTGAATTAAGTAATCAAAATCTATATATATCAAAACCAATGCCACTTTTCGTTATAATGTTATAACTCAACAATACCTTTACCGATTTGGATAATTTTGGTCTTGAAAAAGTGTAAAATCGACATCCACGCGGGCGGAGCCGCGGGCGACCGCTAGTAGATAAATGTGTCTAAAGTAGTAAAATTTGACTTTAGGACCTACTCTAATATTGTTTGCCGGGGTTGCGGGGTAACCGCAATGTGGCACCGCGGCCTCGGCCTAAAGCAGGAGAAAGAACGGGGGTTTTTTTTAGTCAGTAAGAGTCTGACACTCTCTCGGTGGGAGAAGTCATTTGATAGTTTTTCCTCTGACAAAAAAAAAAACATTCATTTAGGGGTTGAGGGGTGGAGAGAGAACAAATAACGGAATTATATAACTTTATGTCGGTATTCTGTTTACTAAAATTCCCTTTATCTCAGTTCACAGAGACATAAAACCTCACAATGTACTACTGTCAATGCCGACGGGCAGCGGAGAAGTGCGAGCCATGATCTCAGACTTCGGTCTGTCTAAGAAACTCAACCTAGGCCGAATGAGTTTCTCCAGGAGGTCGGGAATTACGGGAACCGATGGCTGGATCGCACCTGAAATGATTAATGGAGAGAGAACGGTATGTGTGCAAAGAAATTGTGAATAATTTATACTAACACTAATTTGATAGGTTTTTTTAAAGTAACAATTAATACTTAACAATAACACTACTCACGTCAGTAATTCAGCGACGGCGCTGTGCCGTGACATCGCATCAGTCAGTCAGACAGACAGTCAGTTAATCGGTCAGACAATCAGTTAATCAATCAGTCTGTCAGTCAGAAAACCAGTCAAACACTCAATAAAGAAAGATATATGACTAATACAACTTTTTTGTTTCAGACAACATCAGTAGATATATTCTCTCTCGGGTGCGTGTTCTATTACGTGTTGTCTAAAGGCCAGCATCCATTCGGAGATATGCTCCGGAGACAGGCCAACATACTCACCGGAGATTACAACCTGGATCAACTTGAGTAAGTTTACATTTCAGTTATTGATTTTTCATCACTATCTGTACATAGTATTTCTCTGTCCCTATGTATGCTTAAATACTTAAACTACTTAACGGATTTTGATGCGGTTTTAATAGAAATAGTGATTGAAGAGGAAGATTTATATGTATAATTTTACATAAATAAAATAATGAAGAAATTTAGTATCAGTATTTAGTATACTCGTCGGAAGCCGGAGAGGGTCGCTACGATAAATTGACATGCAATAGAAGTTTTACAATATAGGAAAATACCAATTAACACAGAAGATTTGACTAAACTTGACTACGCGGTCGGCTCTGTAGCTGGCCAACAGGTTGCTGCGCGGCGTGTCGCTCGTTCGATTCTCGCACGGAAGTATTCCATGTATGATCAACAAGTCGATGTTCTGGGTTTGGTTGTGGTTTGATGTGAATTTGGATTTTTCTATGGTATAGGTAAACGTGTAGACGGATTACCTGATGGTAATCAATCAGCGCCGCCCATGGACTCCCCCAACACTCAAGGAGTGCGGGTGCGTTGCCGGCCTTTTACGTATAGGGTTTCGGATTTTTCGGTTCGGGAAGGGATAGGGAGAGGAGAGATCGGGCCTCCGGTAACCTAACTCACACGACGAAACATAACGCTGTGGTTGTTTCACGTCGGTATTCTGTGAGGCCGTGGTATCACCCCGCTCGAGCCGACTCATTCGTGCGCAAGCTTGGCTCTCCCACACTTGCTTGGATGTTTGTAAACGTATCCACCACGCAGAAAAAATATCAAGTACTTAATCCATAAAAAAACTGTTTAAAGTAACATTGCCAGACCTAGACATAAATGGACAAAGTAATATGTTAATTGAGTTAATGGCGTGGAAATTTAACTATATATTTTAAAATTCATTATTGTATTTGATTTGTTCACAGCAAAGTGTTGCCTGAAGAAGAAGTGCTAATAACAAAGATATTGATCCGCGCGATGATATCAGCCCGTCCGGCCGCGCGGCCGCCCTGCGAGACTGTGCTCAAGTACCCCATGTTCTGGGGGAAACAGAGCATACTCAACTTCTTACAGGTAAAGTAACCATTTTTTATGTGGTAGATCGGCAAACGAGCAGACGGATTACCTGATGGTAAGCAATCAGCGCCGCTCATGGACACTCATAGTACCAAAGGAGTTACTACAAGTGCCTTGCAAGTCTCTTGTGGGTTATTAGGGACTTAAGAATAGGGGTCTTGAGGATTGAGGAATGAGGGGAGGGGGGAAAAATTGGGCCTCCGGTACTCACAAGGCGAAATACACCTTAAAAATATATTTATTTTATTTAAAGTAGCTACCATGATACATACAAAGTTTATTAAAATTAACGGTTTACTTACGTGAACCAACTACGAATAATATGTCTAGTCCAGTTTTTCTCAATTTCTTTGTACTTTGACTAGCTTCTACTAGAGCTTGGGCGGCCACGATGTTGTGCGAAACGCGCGCTCTGCTCATTAATAAGAGTTACATTGTGATTTGAAAACTGTAGAGCCATTCTCATTTGGTTCTCCTAAGTAAGTCGTCATTTTTAACGATAGAATGTTGATCTTATCAGAAATAGTCATCCCTCTTTCGTTCATGGGATAGGAAGATCTAAAGAGATCTGTAACGTTTATAGTAAAAAAAAAAGATAACGATCTCACTCCGCATCAAAAAGAGAGGTGTTAGAATTATCCTAGTATCCCAGTATCCTACTATCCTAATGTAATCCTTCTATAAATATTAAGAACGTGAAAGTTTGTAAGAATGAATGTTATTGTTTTACAAAAAACGGCTGGACAGATTTGATTGACATTTGGTATGTAGATAGCTTTGATTAACACATAGGCTGCTTTTTATCAACAACTTACGCGGGCGAAGCCGCGGGCGGAAGCTAGTATTTCATATAGAAATACTCTTTTAAAAGGGATGACGGAAAGCCTTTATTTACATTATCCACAGAATAAAAACATATTTGACGTACTTTGTTTTCGAGGGGTGTAAGTCATCAAATACCTTATTACGCCCTGTGTGGGGTGAGACGGAGTGTCAGGTTCTTACTGACTAAAAGTCATCCCGTTCCTTTTCCTGGGCCAGGTCAAGGTCGCGGTAAATTATTGCGTCTGCACTACTACACTTTGTAACATTGGATATTAGACTAGCAGTTCCCGCGGACAAATAGTCGTCATCCCTAATAAGGTCATTAAGGATACTACAAAAATATTTTTAATTCTTTTAAGAACATGATAGGCCTTTAACCGTTAAATATAAGTTCTAGAACCGGTATCTATTTGATAACATCTGACTCATTCCCTCGTTTTATAGATAAAGACACACTGCTTAAATAAAGTCTGGGTACATATTATGTACTAGACACTGTTTGCCAGACATGTATGTGTAGTCATAGTCTAATCTCTACAATGTAATATATTTGTTCAAGTAACATGTAAGGCCTACTTATGGTTATATTATTGGCAATGTGCGCGACGATGGCGACGCGTAGCGTTGACAACATTTGCGGAAGCTGTCAAGTAATAACAACGCATCATAATTTTCTTTGCAAATATAAATAAAACCAAAGGTTGTTGCCATTATTTAAGTGCAATTTATTTAATAGTTTTACTGTATAATGAAATACCTAATAATAAAAATCTACAGTTGATCACCTGCATTTGTTTCCAATTTCTTGCCGTGTTGTGCGCTGCGGTCGTTATCTGTCTGCCACTACTCGCTTTGCACATAGCCAATAGTCATGATTTAGTAGATCTAGAATTTTTTAATCAAATATTTTTCACCATCACTAGATACAAATAGACAACCGAGCGAAGCAGGGTCGACACACTAGTTTTAAAATAAAAACGTGTAAGATCAAGTAGGGTAGGCCCTTATTTCGTCGGTCGAATCTTTTCTTCAAACTCTTCTCAAAAAGCTGGAACCTCACTCGTAACTCCTCTGGTGTTTAGGGTGTCAAAAGGTGGCGCTGGTCGCCTTAAGGGGATAGATATGTTCGTTTGTCGACGTATTGCAACAAAGTAAAAAAATACAAACATCCTCTTCTTAGTTTAAATACAGAAATACTTAAAAGAAGTACTTGAGGTATTCTAATGAATCATATTAAAAGCATTACGGTACATGAGTACTCCACGTTCCAAGTTACTCGTAAAGAGGTCAATGACCTGTCTTATCGGTAATTTATAATTGGCATAACATTGTAACCGCTTCTCAGTTTCACACGTTGTTATATTTATAATTGATTCTGTTTTAGACATGGTTGATAGCATCTTGTCATGAAATATTATTTTTTATTCATTCTGAGCTCCAGAATAAATACTGAATAATTTTATGAGGCTTTGTTTAACTAGTTTTTTAAAGATCGTTATAGTAATTATCACAGTATAAATATAAAGGTATCCAACCTAACGTCAACAACTGAATGCCTAGTGCGAGTTTACTTCACATTAAGGCGATCGACACGTTTATGACGTTCGGTGCTCTGATTGGCTCGCTCTAAGTCACTCGACCAATCAAAGAGGGCTACTCTAAATCGATCGTCCAATCAGAGAGCTACTCCAAGTCAATCGAACAATCAAAGGGCTACTCTAACTCAAATCAATCGCATTAACGTAAAACAAACTCGCTAGCTATCACTACTGTAAACATCAATGGCCCAGTACCATTTCAATTTAATCCTTTGGGCTCTATTGAGGAATCAATTAAATCTAATCGAAAATCAAATTTTGAAAATGTTATTGACCTTCCATTCAGCAGACATTGGCAACATATTTTCTTTTCGACTGTTTGGAATATTCGAATACTAATACTGACTACTTAGCTAGGAATAATAGCAATTTTGCTTTGACCAAAAGTTTATTTGTTTAATTTTTTGTGTTGTGCGAATTGTATGGATCATGTTATATGAATTAAATAAGCAAATAATGCCGAAATTTAATATAAATGTTGTTATTTTGACATACAGGATGTAAGTGACCAAGTAGAAAGTGGTGACAGTGGTTCCGAAGCCGCTTTAGAGCGCGGCGCTAGACGCGTCGTACGCGGGGACTGGCGCGCGCGCGTCTGTGTCGCTGTCGCTAGCGATCTGCGCGCGCGCAGGACATATCGCGGGGACCGCGCCGCGCATCTACTGAGGGCTATAAGGAATAAGGTAATTGTTCTTACACTGAATTAAAAAAAAAATAAGAAGGAGCTGTTTCGCCATGCGATTTTCTTATTTTTGGGTGCAACATAATTTTATATAAACATATTTTCTGATAGAATAATTAGAAGCTTTATCCTAGGTCCTTTAGAATTAATTGAACTTTAATTAAGTACATATTATTATTATAAAGATTTGAGAAAGTAAGTCTAGTTTGATTAGGGTAGTTCCACATGCCTTTATAATGGCTTTGTGCACATGTCATTTATTTGTTCAATCTTTCCAAGTTCATTAGCTCATGGGTGTATTTTCCTAACAGAAACATCACTACAGAGAATTAGAAACGGAAGTACGGGAAAGTCTAGGCAAGTTACCTGATGGCTTTGTGACGTACTGGTTACGAAGGTTTCCACTTCTGTTACCGCACGTATGGCTACAAATGCAGCCATACAGACACGAGGACATCCTACAAGGCTACTACCCACACAGCTTCACCTTTAACAGGGATGACGTCACGGAATTAGACGAAGACGGCGATTTAGAGGAAGAAATCCCAGTGGAAATGTGTGATCCGGTCAAAAACGGACTTTTTGTTAAGAGTAGAGTGTACTATGATGAGAACCAAGGCGTTGAGTATAGGTATAAGAAGGAAGGATCGCCGAGGAAACGCAATGATTGGAGGAGCGACGCCCAAGAACGGACGAGGCAAGATGACGTCAGACTACGAGATAGACACTACTATAAGAAGAAAGAGAAGAAAAGAGAGGAGATGCCAGTTTGGACTTTGCCCCAACAATGAGGTATAGATTTAGCGAAAGAGGTTTTACTTGACCAGAAGTCACAGGGAGTAGTAATGTTAGATAGTTTTTGTAAATGAGGCTCATGTACTCTAGTTAGAAGTTTCTAGACGGTTTATAGTGGAATGGTGCCTAGTGTGACATTAGGCTTGCTCCCATTTTAAACGACTCATATAATTAACGAGAAATTGGCGTTACTTTCATTTGTACGCCTTTACCCCTTTGGGTAGGAGAATGTTATATTTTTGTGATGTATGATATCATAGACATTATACATATTACAGACGTAGGTCATGTAATTTTATCCAATGACAATCTGCTTATTGTCTTGCAGATGACGAATGAATTTATATTACGTATAGCCAATTCCCTGCAGTGGAAACGTTAAAGTATTAACTAAAATAATGTTTTTTTTTTAATATTATTATTATTGACTATTTATAGACGACCTATTGTTATCTGTAAATTTAAAAAAGATAAAATCTTGATACTTGATCTTTAGTCGATTCTAGATAAATGTTGTTTTTCTGGTCAAGTCATAGTGATTAGTATGTAATTTTTATGCACAAAATTTGATCATTTTGTGACGAGTTTTTATTTATTTAAATGAATTTATTAATATATTTGAATTTAATAATATATAACGATACAAATTTAAGTAATAGGATGTAGTTAGTTTAGTAAGAGATCTCTAATCATTTAGTTAGTTTTAGGTTTTAGTAAATATAAAAGTAATTTATAAGTAGAAAGATTCCTTTATTCGAGTGTCAATAAAGATAGAGTTATGTTAATAGGGAAGGTGGCCGAATACAAAAAAAGCAAAAAAAATGATGCTAGGCCTTTCTGGGGTGCCTTTAGAAAAATACTTATCACACCCAGACTTGGAAAAACAATTTGTAAACAGGACAAATAATTATTCATTCATTGCGATAACCGTACATCTATTTAGAATGTTTGAATTGATGTCGCACAGTTTTTAAAGAGGTTTCATGCAGTAGCAACTTAGTCAATGTCGCGTTTATTGTTTCCCGAAAGAGTAGACAAGTTTATAACCTAAAAAAATTGTGTAAATCCAAATGTTTCATTTTACATAAAAAGCTGAAATTAAAAATTATCTTCCCTATTAAGTAAAGGTCACAAAGAATAGACTCCAAGCCATCTTAGACACACGAATGATGAAGGATTTGGGACCAATATAGAGTAAAAAAATTAATGAAAATATTCGCAATGCATTTTAATGTCGTTTACTTCAACTGCGAAGGTTACAATAGTTGTTTGTTTTTGTAAACAAGAAGGTCATAGAATAAAAATATGGTAGGTAATCAAATGTTTTAGAATGAATTCTGAACGAAATATATGCTTGCCTCTTAGGATATTTGTTAGTCACCGTTTACATAAAAAAGTAAGCCAATTTTAAAATATTAAAAGATATTAAGATTCGATAAATTAACGATGCGATATAAACTTGAACTAGTGTCTCCTGAGATAACGCATTCAGAAATCAATATTAAAATAAATTAATATGTTTAAAATATTAATTAGTATACCTACGTTATAGGTCAGTTTGTATATGATTTAATATAATTCTTTAGTTTCTTGGATGGTGAAAATAATCAAATGACGAACCAACCATCCATATTAAACAGCATAACGTTAAGTTTATAAGTAAAAAAAGTTAACAGTACAAAATAAAAAAAAAAAAACAGTCGTTCAATTGCCTTTTTAACTTCAGTACATTTTATTGCAGTTTTAATTTCATCCTTTTTAGTTTGAACTGACATGTAACTTTCCCAGGACACGATACGAGACAAAAATATACCAGCATCGGCCTATACATTATACAACAACCGTCTACTATAAATTATTAAAATAGACAACTAGTATAGAAACATTTTATATACATAATTTAATTTATTAATTTTAACATAGTGTTGTCCGTTCGCGTTCAATGTCATGTAACTGCATTCCTTATGTACTCAGATAACCTGAGTATATACCATTAGTTATAATTATGTATATTATGATTATGACGTTCGAGCGGACATTTTAACGATTAGTGTCATGGATTTTATATTAATTTATTTATTATTTACTCGTATAGTTAATAAAATTGACGTCAATTACTTTAAAGTGTTTTGATGTTATATGTAATTTGAGTTTCTTTAGATATTTTCTTTTTATGATTTGCCTATTTCTACTTCTTAGTAGAGAAGAGCCTTTGCGAAGTTGACTATAATTTATTTATTGCTATAAGCTATAAATTAAAAGCGAATACATATGGATTTTATATCATCTTCGATAATTCCACTAAACCTAATAGTTAATTTAATGTTTTTTTAATGCCTCCATTCGTATCGATTTGTCCAAAACTGGCATTTTGTAGCTTACTTAGCTGGTGTTTTTTTTCTCTGAATGCGTTTATCTCAGGGACTACCAGTCTAATTATTAGCTAAATTACCTTTTTTTACATCGTTGATAGTTCCTTTCTTCAGGAATTTATAATAGGCCATGGCCATTGGGTGTACTTATTTTCAAATAATCTTACTTATTCATACTACCTGCATATGAGAATGCATTTTTCTTGATTAATTAAGTAGGTATGATTCAAAGTAACGGCCTATATTATATAGGTAAAAACTTTTTGGAAAAATACTTCTTCTACAATCCATAGTTGAATTCAAAGACACCCTATATATGTGTACGAGATACTGAACAAAACATGTATGTTTCTCTAATTCTTCGTTCACATTTATCAATCGCAAACCCTATATAAAAATGAATCGCAAAATGTGTTGGTAAGCGCATAACTAAAAAACGCTTGGACAAATTTTGCTAATTCTTATTTTGGTGTTTGTACCGGCAATTCTTTAACATAAAATTCATCACAATATTTTTTTTTAAACGTTGCCCCAAACTAAGAATTTTTCCTCTATTATGAGTGCGTTCATAACACAAACATATAGATGTAAGTTGTAAGTATTTAGTTTGTATGGAATTTATTTCTGGTGCTACGATTGTGGTGTAGATGTGAATATTATGTGCAAATAGTAATAGATAGGTGTAGTAAAAACAATAGCTAGTTAGAGTATACTAATATCGTGATTGGTTCATTATGCAAATGCTTGTATTTGACAAACATTAGTTGATACTGTGTTCAGTAATGAGATTGTCGATCGTTTTCGCTCATTGCAATTATGTCTCGGCACGGATGTTTTAATGTTGTTGTTTACGTAATTTTAAATGTAACGCATGTCGTGTTTCATTTGTTTTTGCCACAAGAGTTTTTGCTCTTCGGTCGTTTGTAATAAAGTCTAGTTTCTTTTAGCTTATTATTATTTTGTTTTTACTTGCGCGTTAAGATTAACTTTGCTTAAAATATGTAGCTTGGAATAGCCATTCAACATGTGTAGGTATTAGCGACTCATCGCTAAGACCTTTTATAGGAACTATCCGATAGAACTTTAGGTATTTGTTGCGCAATGTTACAAAATGTCTACAAATAAACAGCAGACTAAACCGAACCACTTAATGACTAATGATATATATTATAATTTGGTAGAAATGAAATAAAAACTCGACTCAAACCTGTTTAATTAAATGCCAATACCAAGGTCTTTTGAAGTTATGTGAGCGTTAGCAACACATAATGTAACTTTTTATAGACTAACAATTACTAGGCTTACATATAAAGACTAATATTTTAGTCTATCAAATAATATTAGGGACTATCAGTGCACGTGCACCTAATAAGATCAATGAACTTAAGTTGACTGGTTGCCCTTGATGTCAGGTTTAGAACTTATGGTAATTGAGGTAACATCAAGGTTGCGAAGTGTAATTTGACATATTTTTTTTAAATCATCTTTTTTAATTGTCTTTGTTTTCGTGTCTCAATTCAATTCAGTTAAGACATACTAGGTAAAAAAACCACTACACAGTATGAATATGTTAGTTTCAAAGTTAGGCAAATACGATACTTTTTTTTTAATAGCACAGAATAGCATTTTTGTAGGCTGATTTTTCAATAGTCAGATAAATTTTGATATGAGGAATAAAATTGTTGCTGTCACCGTCTTATACAACCATTTTGACGCGACAACGTCATAATTATTCCCCAGGTAACTTTTATCTAACCATTGAAAAATCAGCCCTAAGGACAATATCAATTGTTAAACTATAAATAAAAGATGACGCATAATCAATCATTCACGCAATATTTGTTTAACGTTCCTGTGTTTTGTAAATATTACATTAAGTAGGTACTTAGAAATGTATGTAGATAAAATCAGCGTCGACCGCGACAATTGTAATTTAATATTCGACCTAAATTATATAAATTGAGATTGGATTTTTTATAAAATAACAATATATATAGTAATTTATTATAACAAATTTTACCAAGTGATATTTTGATTTATGTATTGTATTTATGTATGTATTATTCAAAATTAATTCTGTTTGTATTATATGTACCTATGAAGCTCAAATTGTTTGTAAATTTATAACGGTAATAAATGTCAAATAAAGATATGGCATACAAACATGATAACATTTGTTTTATTTAATTATGATTGTGCTATTTAATGGAGAAATAAAATTAGAAATTTACCTATAAATGTTTATTGTCAGTCAGAACTTAAAAATAAAATAACAATGTTGTTACATATTTAGAAAAATAAAATAATATTATTAATAAAATCAGTCTTAGAGGAATTCTGTTGTTCTTACTGTGGGTAGGTCAAGAGAATGGCACAGATTGTTGAGACGCTACAGTTTGTGCTAATGATTAAAAAAAGAAAATAAAAAAATCATAAGCACAGCATATCAAAATAATTGAAATAAAATATGGCATAATATACAGAAGTTTTTGCATATAATTGGTGCAAACACATTCTAAAATATAGCTGTCAAACAGCTAATTAAAAAAAGCAATAAGTAGTAATTCCAAATGATAGCCTAAATAATATGTCTGTACTATTCACAAGTACAGTCTACTAATAAGTAAAACTGCATCGAAAATATATATAGAATCCAATAATTTCATAGTTTTTAAAAAGGGGAATCATTATTTTTTATATTTATATAAAATGCCTTGTAAACTATAGTAGAAAAAACAATTAAAATAATGAACACAAAATATTGTGACAAACATGATAACATACATAATTGGAATGTATTCAAAAATGCAAATGGATAAACAAATTGGTACAAAATTAAAGCTATGAAATACATGTTTTCCCTACATCAACATTACTATAGGCCTATCCTACTTCAAAAATACTTCTCTCATTATCCCTAAGTATTATTATACTTACATTACAAACCACTTGAATACTTATCTATCAAATCTATTATTGTTAAGTGAACTTTCTCCTTAGCTAGGGTAAGTGCAGTTTTATCTGACCCATTTTGCAATGACAGATCAGGGTTATAACTCAGTAACATTTTAGCAGCCCCTATGTTACCCATTGCACAGACATCATGCAATGGAGTGTTCCCTGCTATATCAATTGCATTTATATTGGCGCCACTATCTAATAATAAACGGATCACATAGATTTTATTATTCAAAGCTGCTAAATGTAAAGGAGTTTGATATTTTTTGTTATAGCAATTCACATCAGCTTTGTTATGTATCAATATCTTGCATAAATCAACTAAACCATATCTAGATGCGTAATGCAAGGCAGTGAAGCCATTTGTATCAGTGAAATTAATATCAAAGTCGGATGAGTTTGTTTCATTATTTTTCTTGCAAATAGCACATTCACACAGTGGGTGGCACGGAGTTGTCTGCTCAGGAGTGACAGGTTTATCTTTCATGTCAACATAAGCAGAGTAGTTGATGTTCATATAAAAGCAGGCCAGCTTTACATCTCCATAGGATATCGCTTTCAATATCCTATCAATTAATTTTAATTTTTCTACTGCTTTTGACACATTATTAGTATCACTCACTTTGTTAGATACTTTTAATTTGATAGGAGCAGGGCTGTCAGATTTGCAGTTCAAAGCTTTAACATCTGTACTAGTGATATGTATGTATTCATACAAACTAGGAGTACAAGATTTTAAAACTTGCATGATCTTCAAATTGTGAGCATAGTCAAAAGCTGTTTTATTGTACTTATTCTGTAAAGATGGCTCTGCTCCATTTTCTATTAGTAATCTTGCAATTCCTTCATAGCCCCACTTAGAGGCCATGTGTAATGGCGTGTTCCCACTCTCATTCACGCAATTTATCCTAATCTTCCTCCTACTGTGCTCTGCGAAGTAAATAAGTGCTTTGACACAATTCAGGTGGCCATTGTTGACAGCCATGTGTAATGGAGTATTTTGATCAATATTAGCTTTATCTATGTCAGCTCCTGAGTGTAAAAGGAGTAGCAAGGCATTCTGGTGACCTCTGGATGATGCATAGTGGAGTGGAGTACATTCATTGAGGTCTGTAGCATTCACTTCTGCACCCATTTCAATTAGAGATTCTACTATATTCGCTTTACCATGAATGGAGGCTACATGCAATGCTGTTAGCCCATGACTGTCCCGAGAAGTCACAGTGGGGGAAGTCTTCAATAAGTTCTTAGATATTTTGCAGCAGCATTTCTTGCAGTTGCACAAAGGGTGACAGAGTTTGTGATATATTTCAGTGTCACTATCATCATCATCAGTTAGATTGTTATCCAAAGCTATTTTGAGAACATTATTTTCATTGAGATTTATACTCTGGAGGTGCTTTTGATTTTTCTGTAGAATTGTTTTTACTTGTTCACAGTGATTTGCTTTGATGAGTTCAAAAATGTATTCTAAAGTCTCTTCTTTGCTGTTGGTGTCACTTGTAGATATAGATTCAGTTAAGCTGTTTTTTCTTTGTCTGCCATTTACATTTTCTTCTGTTAGATTGCTTTCATAGTAATAGGACTCGGGGTCTGGTGATCCAGTTAGTGCTCCAGATTGTATGTGTTCTATGACAGCTTCTAAAGTAGTGATAAGGAAGGAGCTCTCATCAGCATCACCTTTGCCAACACTGCTGAACCGGAACTCTTTCATGTACATTAGTTGGCTGTACCAATTGGGGAGGCCAGACTTGATGACTAGAAACACAAACACAGGTAATAGGTCATCAGCTGTTAGTAGGACAATATTGTTACTGTCATCCTTCTTGTGGATGGCATTTAAGGCTTGTTTCACACATAACACTTTTTCAAGCACTGTGTTGTATGTGTCTATCTTGGATAGAATTTGTTTAGCTCTGGGCACTGCATGGTACAGATCTTTTTTGATGTCCAGGTCTCTTAGTTGGATGTCACACATGTTCCTTATTTTCTTATTGAGGTGTGAGTCTTCATAGGCACAGGAGGTGCATATTGGTTTGAATAAGGCATCAAACAGTAAGTGCTGCATGTAGCATTCTACAGCTAACTTTACATTTTCCAGCACTTGTTTACAAGACTTTGATTTGTCTCTGAGTCTTCGGTTTTGTAAGGCAATTTGAAGGCATTGTGTGTAAAGTTCACTTACTGTGTCCCTCAGAGGTGCTACTGCAACAGGTAGTGTAGGATGGCTCTTTAAAAATGATTGTACACTGTGCTCAATTTGGTCCAGAACTTGACGGCCAGCAGCTTGTGTCCAGAGCAAGTCAATGCAGTCATTGATTGATGTAAGATACTCTTTCGATATTGCATTATCACTGAAGTTAGTTGTAGGTTCCAGAGGAGTTTCAACACACCACACTTTGTACTTGATAAAGTCTTCTGTGTAAAATGTTTCTTCAAACAGTATATGGCTTTGCAGAGGCAATCCGTTGGTCACTTCAAGTGTAATCACTTTATTGGACACAGTCAATTGTTTCTCTGTTAGCGTACTATAATGAGTCTCCGGCAACTCGTCACTTGGAACAAGTATATGAGCACAAAAATCTTCGACGGTGAACACACGAGTCGTTAAACTTCCGATCCGAGGGACGCATATTACCCAAGATTGTGTTATACAATGTTGAAATAAATTAGAATATTCTGACTTTAATTCAACGAAGAACGGGTTATCGGAGATGATCTCGTCGTAAGTACCATCCATTGTGGTGTTAAAAATAGAAAACTAGTACCAACTTTGTCTAATAACTTGAACATTAGCGCACTAGAAGTTAACTAATTATGGCTTCTCGGTTCGGTCGTATCGTTAGGCCGAATTTAATTAAGTTTTAAGTACAAAAACTCGCTGCCCGCGACCTTGCGTCGAGTAGTACTGTACGTCTGACATTTCTGTGACAGTTATGTTTGTTGACACCAGAGCTGTCATTATCAGCCGTCTTCTGTCATAGACTTTACCATAGTTTATCCAATCAGTGATTTGATTATGAACATTTATTATTATAATTTTTATTACACTAGAATAGCGTGTTGTATGAAATGTAAAAAAAATATTTTTTGTATAATTGTAAAAAATATAGTAGGTAGCTTTTAATAAAAAAATGGTTCACAAAATTAACACACTTTATTAGAATTCTATAAAAATAACAGTCCATTTTTATTAAGTATATATCTATAAACGAGTCGAAATAATTTAACCTCGGCCTCCTCTACCACCAAATCCACCGAAACCGCCCCGACCTCCGAATCCACCAAATCCTCTGCCACCGAAACCTCTGCCCCCGAAACCTCTGCCACCGAATCCTCTACCACCAAAGCCGCGACCTCCGAATCCACGACCACCGAAGCCTCGGCCGAATCCACGCCCAAAGCCACCAAATCCGAAACCACCACCAACGATGATCGGTACCGGAACTGCAACGGGCACTGAAATAGAAAATTTGGTACAATCGATTGACCAATTTTTAACTGAATCTATAAAGTTAGATAGGTAATAGATTTGAGCAGGCAAATCAACTAGGGTCTATGTGACTATAGACTTAATCCTCATTTAAGTAAATATAACCGACATATTTTAGCAGAACAATAAAAATGGCACGATTGGTAGGCGCGGCAACCGGCTGCCGCTTCGTTTTTGAGAGTTTAATCATAAAAAAGTTGTTAATTAATAACTTCATTGGTTATTTGATTTACGATACCTGCCTAATTAACGTTTATTTTATCAACTTTCTCGATCAGCCACTGTTGACATACTTCGGTTTTCGCTAAATACTTCCAGATGGCGTTTTATGGTTGTTGTAAACCTCGAATGCACTGGCACGGTCGGTCGGTGGGAATTTGATGCTTAGTTTTACAGTTTAACTATTACTTCATGTAGCTTACCTCTTCTCCTGTAGTACGGATAGTAGTAGGGATCATAATATTGTCGTTTCACTCGAGTTAAATCATCTTTGTCATCTTTTTTATTAACTTCTTCGGGTTTACTTTCTTTTAAAATTATTTTTTCTAAAGGTTTTGATTTTTCTTCTAGTTGTGTTGTTCGTTCATCTTTGGCTGAACTAATCTCTTCTATGATTATTAGGAATACGATGCACACAGCTAATCCCAGTTTCTGTAAGAAATTTATGTAATTTTAGTTGTTTAGTACCTAAATTAGTTTTCAGATGTTAGCCAAGCTTCGGCACGAATGGGTCCGCTCGACCGGAGTGATACCACAGAATACCGGCGTGAAACAACCACAGCGTTGTGTTTCGTCGTGTGAGTGAGATTACCGGAGGCCCAATGCCTCCCCCTCCCCTATCCCTGCCCAATCCTTCCCCAAAAGTCCGGCAACGCACTCGTAACTCAGGGGACGTCGATTGCTACCAGTCATGGCATAAGTCGGCCAACGAGCAAACGTAATACGTTTGCTCGTTGGCCGACTTATGCCATAAAAAAACTTTTCTTTGATTCATTAAGAATTTTTAAGATAATAATCGTTCCGGTCATGAACATATTCAATTGGCACCTATTTTCCGTGATAAAAGGTAGGTTACCTAGGTATATTGTTTATTTCACAACTTATCGCAATACTTGAGGAATAACTTCTTAGTTTACGTTGATAGTAAAAATGTCACAGAAACGAAATTAAACTAATTACTGAAGGAGTTTGATGCCCTTCATTGCATATTATAGGTAAATTACATTTAATCGCATTATAGATTCTAAGTAATTAATTTACCTAAGTTAACATTCGTGAGGTCATTGACATTTTATATACCTATGAATAGTAATTATACCTATGAATAATTTTAGTTAGGTAGGTACCTTCTACTTTTTGAGGAGAAAATCCTTATTCTTTCTCTCAGCCCGGGTGGGGCAAGAAGGAGGTTGAGACTCTTACTGACTTTTGACTAAAAACCATCCCGTTCTTTATCCTGTTCCAGGCCAGCCGGGCCGTGGAATACAATCACGGTTTCCTACTACTTTAGTACTAAAATAACAATATTATTAAAAACATTACTCACAGTAATCTCCATTCTGTCTGTTGTGTTTTTGTAAGACGACTGATCGAAAATATTATGAGTGCCCATATATTATAGTTACTTCGAGCATACGTGCTAATTGGTAAATTCTTGACTCAAGTCGCTTCATGTAAAATCCCGTATAAGGCACTAAATGATCTAATTTATGATGTATAGCTGAGTATTGATATGTTTTACAAAAGTTGGTGCATAGGAAAATAAATAAAAAATATTGAATCACGAATGGGCTCTATTGCAATTATATGCTAGTTATCTCTAAAGTCATGGGGACTTTGGGATGAAAGTAGTAAAGCGTTGTGTTAGTGTATGAGTAAAGTTACCGTAGGCTCAATCCTCCTCTTTCCTCATATCCTCAATTAAAAACCCTAACCCTCAAAAGTGCATTACTTTACATGGTAACTCCTCTGGCATTGCCGATGTCCCTGGGTGGGGCCAACTTTTGAGCGCTTTTATTCAACAAGGTACTTATAATTAAATCGCACAAAAAACTAAGTAGGTAATTAAAAAAGATCTAGGTATAGGAAAAATGAGACTTCTGTCGGTGAAGTTTCAGTCGGTGGATTTTCCTTTTATGGAGTGTAGGGTGTAGTGAACATGAGCTCATCATTAAGGCCTCAAAGGCCACTACATATAGGGCCGATGTTCAGTGGAGGTTGCGAGTAAGAGCCCAATAATGTAACGCGGCCCCAGACTGAAAAAGGAACGCGTGGATTTAAGTCAGTAAGTGAGAGAAACGCCGTATTGTCCCAGGGTGAGTGGTTAGTAATGGAGTTTCTTGCTCGTTCTTCTCAATTTGAATCTAAACTTTGGAACGACCACCTAAATTTACTGATGAACTGACTGACGGACTACAGTCTATTTCGACGTTTCAAAAATACAAGTTAATGGTTAAGTTTATAATAAATGGATTTGACTTTGTCTTATCTGATTTTTGACTGCACGGTTGGCCAGTGGCTAGGCAACTAGCTGCTGTGCAACGAGCCGCGGGTTTGATTCCCGTACGGAATAACACTTTGTGTGATCCAAAAAGTGTTGTTTTGGTTCTGAGTGTCATGTATATGTGAAATTGTATGTTTGTAAACGCACCCACGGCACAGGAGAAAATCCTAGTGTGGGGCAACGTTTTAATTAAACGAAAAAAAAAAAACAATTTATACATATTTATTCAAAAATTGATTTTGAGCGAAAAGGCTTTTCGTCATACTCTTACCAACTTAAAACCACCCCGTTTCTTCTCCTGCTACATTAATAATTGTTGTTGACTCGCAACCCCGGCTGAAGCTGAATCAGCTGTATTAGACACAACCTTGGAGTGGTTTGTTGGCTCTTTGAAGCGTGCTGAACGCTACACTCCGTACGCTCGGTTCAGTCAGTCAGTCGGTTGGTAGCTCGCCGCCCGACCTTGTGGTCGGACGTCGGACGGGTTTGTAAACGCACCCACGACTCAGAACGTGATACTAGAATGGGAAAACGTTTTTTTTATATTTTGACTTAAAGTGTCCGAATCTCCTTCTCACTCCATCCAGGGCGAAAGAAGACATTTGATGATTTTCCCCTTCCAAAAATTTTAATTCTGTAAATGAAACATCAAATACTTTTGATATTTGCAGTTACAGTGCCGGCGTAACATATGCACAGAGCGTAGAGCACAGTTTTGAGGGTGTTTGCACAAGGAGAGGCAAGAGAGTCCAACTTCAGACCTTGGCGCCCCCCCAGAATATGTCGCCCTGGGCCATCGCCCCATCACGCCCCCCCCCCCCCTCCAACGCCGGCATTGTGCAGTTAAATCAGGTACTTACATAGATCCCTTACTTATCACTCACTCATAGGATAATCACTCATAAGACAAACTTTATTTAATATGCTTGTCCGATGGGAATAAAGCCAAATCAAAGCGTCACCTACTTACCCATAATTAAAAAAATATATAGCAAATAATGTAGTCATCTAATTAAATGTGCTTACCACCCACATATTTTTACCACACCAAGCAAAAAAAACCTGTTACGTTAGCCATGTCCCAGTTGGTTCTACACTACCTACCCTAATCTACCTACTCTACCCTATCCAATGCCCTTCTCCCAGTTCTGAACGTACTTAAATTATGTATCAACCAATTACACTCTAATCTACTTATGGACGGTTAATTAGTGGCCAATAAAATAGTAGATGATTGGTCGTAATATGGAAGTTGTTGACTAAATAAAGAGATTTGTCATTTTGCCCTTGATAAAGTGTCCTTTGTATGATCTCCGTTGCGGCTGACATCTCCAATTACATTTTCTCAAAGCATTAGTAGGTACAATCCCTAATGGATTCGATTTTTCGTCCTTTTTGTTGTTTGTGAGTACAAACTCATCTATTGTGCAAACGAATTTCTTGTTTATCTATCAGAAAAAAAAATATACGAAAATAATAGTGAATTGGAAACGTTGAAAGTAAATGATAATATAAGCGCGAGTGATGAGTGATAATTCCATTAACTCGGTGCGGCTGTGACAATCAATTTTAATTTTATGAATTGATAGATTACCTATTGTCTGATGTTTTATACGTGTGATAATTTTGATTTGACTGTTAATTTGTAAATGATAGATGATGATATCTATCAACTATAGATACAACTATATCTATATTCATAACGACACCAATTTTAAAGATGAAAAAATATTTAAGAACGAGCATCACTTTCAGATAGTGACGTTGCATGAGCGGAACAACATGGGTATAGTTTTCTGATGATGATTATGCAAAGACAACGTTTTTTTATGGGTTACGTCAGCAAACGAGCAAACGGATTTCCTGGTGGTGGGCAATTGGCACCGCCCATGGACACCCAACACCAAAGGAGTTTGAGTGCGTTGCCGGTCTTTTGGGGATAACGGTTGCGGATATTTAAGGAGACCCACGCTTTTTTATTGTTTCTGTTTATACTTACATCACTATTTCAGCTTCTCGTGAAGACTTAAAACAAGACTCGTTCAGCAGTAAATCTGACCAATTCAACCCACAATACATTCTGTATATGGTTTTACCATTATTTACTTTTATGACGTGACTGCACAATATATTGAATAGTTATAATAATAGATGCTTACTCATGCATAAGCCACAATCCTAATTTATTTGTACAAACCATTGTTGTCAATAGAGATAGAATAGGTACTATATCGTATAGTTCTTACCTACGTATCGAAATTGTTGTTACCTTATTTTGCCATTTTCCCTGAATCTGCAAAACAGTGTTTATTTACTTCTACAAATGTTTGAATTCCGATTTCGGGGAGGACACGTTCCTCTGTAGTTAGGACTGTATTTATACCTGTTTTGACTTCTTAGTAGACTGTGTGTCTCACTTGGCGTTGTGTGTGTCCATGGGCAGTCTATATAGTCTTCAAGGCTAGAGTGAATAGGCTCTTAATAAACTAGTGCGCCTTACCATCAACGATTGCATCACTGCTTAACATCAGGTGGGATCGCAGTCAAGCACTGGTTTATTGCAAGTAAAAAAAAAAAAAAGTCCACAGTCCTGATCAATCACCATCAGGACCTCCGTCTTACTACTCGTTAGTTTCTTTTTTTTTTGTTTGTTTGATTAACCAGTTATTAAATATTCTTATGCACCCTGTGTGGGTTTTAAGCAGATAATCAGCTTCAGGATATTCTAGCAAACGTAAACAATATCAGTGTAATTCCGGAAAAAGTTAGGGTTCATTGTCAGACATTGCGTTGTTATTTTAATATGGTGAGGTGATGTGTGTGCCGTGCGCCCGTATAAATATTTCATCGCGTACGGACCGGAATATGAAGTGGTTAATTTAAATTCTGGCTCGTCTGCGCTGCGGTCGAACACTCCCGGTTATGCCACTTTTTATTTTTCACTTTCCACCCTCCCCCTACCCCTCCCATTTCCTTTCTGAATGCAAGTGGACCGTCGCTTTATTACTGAAGTTTGGACGAAACACGAACGATTTTTTCCCAGCAATCCATTGAAGTGAAGCTAGTAAAATGCATTGCTCCAGTATAGCCTTTCGACATTTCGACGGTCACTTTATAATGCATAGGAAAATTTGTTATGATTCACTTCGGGGCGGGTACAATGATGTCATATTTCTTAAAATTTCTGCAATTCTATGCTAATTTGGTATTGTAGGAAATGGTAACACCAGTTCTCGAGTGAATACAAATAAAATGAATTTAAATTAATCGAGAACTCCTTTTAAATAGTAATAATTATTTATGTACTCAATAAGGAAGGGAGCAGTCCTTTCCTTATTAACTATACCTATGTTTATTTTCAGTGCTATAGGTACCAATTACTATATTATAATCTTTGCGGTTTTTAGCCACGTAAGTCCTAAATATTAGTTTTTCTCTCTGAGAAAAAAACTAATATTTAGGACTTACGTGATGAGAGAATCTCTCATCACTTTCTTCAACTCAGGGATCAAATAACAATCCCTAATTAAGTAGACAAGATTTAAGATGTATACTTGGATGAAGGTCCACATTCGATGGGTGATTCCGCTGCACAGTTTGGGTGTTGCTAATTAAAATTGCACGAGCTTCTATTGTACTCTGCACACGGAAAACCGCAGTAAATTTTCATTCAATACATTTGCAGCGCCAAAATGGCGACCGACCCGTCGCTTGGAAAACTTTTTAAATTCCTGTTTGTTGAAGTTGAAGACTTTAGCTCTTCAAGTTCTGACTATTATATTGTCCATAGCTACTAAGTACAAATTCTGATCATTGGTTCTTGAATTTGATTCTCAAACTTGGCAGATATTATTGGTTTTTTCGAAAACGAAAATCTTGGCAAAAGTTATGTTGTCTGAGAAAAATATTTGCCTATCGTACCTACAGCTATACAGATACTTATAAATAAAACGAGTACAAATGTTTCAACATATTTAATACGTTCAAAAATCAATAAATTCCATAAAACAGATTAGAAATAATTTAAGAAACGATCTTAACGATACCTCAACGGAATTCGGCATCGTTAACAATT